AGGTGAATTCGTACGAATTCAAAGTAGATATAGTCCAGTCGGGGAACGCCGAAGGTGAAGAAGAACGAGAAGGTGTACCTGCGAGGGTCGATCGAGAGTCGGCTGCTGGTGCCCTTCTTAAATGGCTTCAACTCTAGTCTGATTGCGTATTGCCAGACGGGCTCGGGCAAGTCGTTCACTCTAGGATCGGACAATGACCCTACGAACAGCGATGGCTTGATCCCCAAGACCCTCGAACGCTTGTTCGTCAACATGGCCTCTCTTGCTCAGAAGAGCAAGAATGAGACCGTCGAGCTCATGGTCAGCTTTATCGAGATCTACAACGACGAGATCATCGACCTTCTCCTCAACCCTCCCTCCCCCGACTCCGCATACGATCTCTCCGCCTTTTGTCCCCCAAAGACCCAGATAAAAGCGCCCATCAAAATCAATGAGGATAAGAGTGACGGATCAATCGACTTGGTAGGCTGTAAGAAGCTCAAGATCAATGATCTCAATCAGGCCATGTCGCTCTTCAATCATGGCCTCAATCAGAGATCTATCGGGTTCACTCAAATGAATCAATCCTCTTCCCGCTCTCATGCTATCTTCACCCTTCATCTCATCTCCTCCTCCTCCTCCTCTGCCGATCCCGCCATCTCTTCCAATTCTGCGCCTTCGTCTAATCTGGTTAAGAAAACTTCCTCTAAATTTCAATTCGTCGATTTGGCTGGCTCGGAACGGATTAATAAAACTAAAAATCTTTTGGGTGGGGATCGATTCAAAGAAGGCATTTTCATCAACGTCAGTCTCGTCTTCCTAAAAACACATCAATTTCAGGCACTGATTTTTTTGTTCTGTTGTGATCATCGATAGGCCGGATTACATTCGCTAGGAAATGTGATCTCGGCACTTAGTAATCAACCCTCTTCGACGTTATCACAGGATGATAAGAAAAGCAAGAAGAAGAATCACATCCCGTATCGGGAGAGTAAATTGACTCGACTTCTTAAGGACTGTTTGGGCGGGAACTCGAAGACGATTTTGATTAGTTGTATCAGTCAAAACGCGCAAGACGTAAATACCGATTTTTTCTCGTATGTGTAGATTTTAGAAGAAGATATGAAACTGATTGTTTATGGAGAGAGAGCAGTTGAACGAAAGTTTGAACACATTACGATATGCGATCCGGGCGAAGAAGATTGAGAATGTGAGTCAGAAGACGACCAAAGTGATCTCGACGCCTTCGATTATTCCGATGGGGATGCCGACGATGAGCACAATGATGAGTCGGGTGGGGAGCAGCAAGAGCAAGCTACAGCCGCTGGGGGGGACGCGTCGGCTCCAGAACGGCTCAATGACGAGCATGTCGTCCAGGACGGTGACCAGTCGAGCGGGCACGGTGGTGATGCCCACCGGAGCTGGTCGAAGAGAGATTAAGAAACCGATGGTGATGATGAAGCACGAGTTGAGCAAGATCAAGGCGCTCCAGGCGATCGTCTCCAAAGGCGCTTCTTCCATTCTTCTTCCTCCACTCCGGCCTTGTTGAACGACGACGACGACTCGCTCTGTCCCGCCGTCTATCTCGCCGAACAGGTCCACAAGTTCTTCCTCCTCAACCAGAACAGCCAGGTCCGTCTCCATGGCCCCTTCAGTCGACCGATCAAGATCGACTCCCAGCTCGTCAACATCCTCAAATCTCACTTCGCCATCCAACTCCCTTCGGCCACCGGCTCCTCCTCTGGTCTATCTAAGCCGACCTCATCGGCTGTCATGATCCATCGGAACAGTCGGATCGTCTCGAGCTATTCGAACCCGTTGACCCACTCGATTGGCTCTTCCGTCTCCACTTCTTCACACAATAACAACCCTTCTTCGCTTGTCATGAGTGCGACTCCGTCGACCGAATCAGAGGGTCAAGGGGGACCACCAACGTTGGTCGACGATCCGTTCTTACTCTTCCTGGTCGACCTGAATGCGTTCTTCTGTAACTCCGTCTCCCCGCCTCCTTCCTCCACCACCACCACCACTCATCCTTCTTCCTCGATCGCCGTCCCTACCGCTTCAAACAACACCGTCATCTCTTCCTCCTCTATGGGCTCCAGAATCGGCTCGAACATCGGCGCCTCTTCTTCGGCGGCCAGGACTGAGGGGCCCCCGGCTTCGTCGTCTTCTAAGGCTTTGGCACTGGCTTATAATAAACCATCCCTTCTCCCCCATATCAGGCCTAATAAACCCGCCCGGATTCCCCTGTTTTAAGTCGCCCCTATCCTTGCCCCTGACTTATAATCTTTTCCTTTTTTTTGCTCTCTTTCTCTCTCTCTCTCTTATTCTCCTTTTTCGTCTTTCATTTCTTTCATTTGTTTTTTTTTCGCATTTTTTTTTTCAGTGATCTGGTCTTTTTCAGTCTTGTTTATCATCATCTTTACTGCTACCCCTGCCCCTTTTTTCTTCAAATGAATGAATGAATGAATGTTGTAGTTTTTTTTTCTTTGTTGTTTGTTTGTATTATAATATTTGGCTAAGTTATCATTTATACCCTAGGTTTTTTTTTTGTAGTAGTTTCAGTATGTTTGTTGTTTTTGTTCTTTTGTTTTTTGTTGTTGTTGTTGTTGTTGTTGTTGTTGATGATGATGATGTAAAACCAAGCGCGTCCAATCTTAGTCACTCATTCCAGTCCCCCCCCCCCCCCCCCCCAAAAAAAAAAAAAAAAATAACTTGCAGCCAAACATTGAAATAGGTTGTACTGGTCTTTCTTGGTTGGCAGAAGATTCAAAAAATCAAAAAAAATCCTGACTGGAGTCAGAACGCTTTGGAAGAATACAGCCAGTGTAAGTACGGGTTGTAAAATACATGAGGACGTGCTTTACTGGCAGCAGGGGTGAGCGAGCTTCAGCAGCCTCTTCTCTTTGAGCGTGTAATCTCCTGGAGAGAGAGAAAGGCTTGTATAAAGACCCCAATGTCAAAATTGATCCATCACATCATTTTGCATGTTGCATTTTTTTTAACTCCGATTACCAACAAGATCAAAATCAAATCATGGCATCTCCTTCCTCACCTTGTTCATTATCCCAACAGATCATCACACTGTTTTTTTTTTTCAGATCTGAATGTATGTGCTTCTTGAATCGGTCTATTTATGTACTCCATCTTCTGGACAAACTACCACTCCAGCTTGGAATTTTGATTTTGTTCAATATAGCCACTTTAAACAAAAAACAAAACAAAGCTAAATCGCTTGCTTGCTTGCTTGTTTTCAATTTATTTGGTGTGTGTGGGTTTTTTGAGCACTCAAAGGTGGCTTATTTCTGTAATACAAAAAGAAAAAAAACGTCAAGAATAAATCCATTTTCAAAAATCATCAAGTCAATGGAGAAAAGCCGGGAAGGGCTCAGGCCATTATCCCCCCCCCCCCAAAAAAAAGGCAAGAATATACCAGGTTGAGTGAGAGGTGGGCCGGTCCGATCTCAGGAGTTCTATACGCCATATTTGAAGGGGTTTTCTGCGGACATGCGACCGATTGAAGATTGCGGGCCAGTTGTCTGCTCTGGGAATCGCACTAATCAGAGACCCAACAAGCTGTCTCTGCCAAACTTCAGCAGGTCTGACTTGCAGGGGGGGTCAACGTTTGCAGCAGGGACATTGTCAGGCAAAAGGATGAACCTGATTGTTGGATCCTCAGAGATTAGGATTTCTGGGGGGATCCAATCGGAAATCAACTGAATACCAGGTATTGGGATCAGATCAAGCTCCAATCTGATCCCAATTTATTTGACAACTACTCCAAGTGGGTCGAGCAAGCCCCCCCCGGAGCCCACAGACAGCTATTGTACGCACCCTGATCAACACAAATATAGTAGAGATCCCCCCGGCACATCCAGATGTCCGGCTGCTTTTTCTGGGGAAACAGCCATCCGCAGTCGCTGGCGGGTATCCTTGGATACCCACCCTTTAAAGGGCCAGCAAGGCACCGGCTGGAAGGGGTTCCTTCCAGTCGGCAAGGTACATCCTTGCCAACTGGAAGGGCTTCCTTCCAGTTGGCGAGGTACATCCTCACCAACTGGAAGGACCTTGCCGCCTGGAAGGAAACCCTTCCAGCCAGCCATTGGCCTTGGGTATCCCTGGGGATACCCATATATCTGCCAGATTTGGGGGAAAACAGCCATCCGCAGCCAAATCCGCACCCCCTGACGGGTATCCGCCCGCGGATATCAGGTATCCGTGACACATACCCCGTGACCATCTCTAAACAATAGCACTTTAAAAAAAAAAAAAGTTCCCTTGGTGGGAGGCTTTCTGGTGTAACTGGCTGGGCACAAAGTGCCCCCTCCTTCAGGGAGGGACTTGCATGCAATTGCAAATTTTTTTCTGGAATGAGCAGGATTTGGATGTGGGTGCTGGAAACCTTGTTTTCCCCACCACTCATTCACTTGAACTCAAATTGATTTTTTGGATCTATAAGTGTCAGCTCTGGTCTCTTATGTGAGCAGGAGTTGATAGGGTATTGGGTCTCACTATAGCCACAGAGGTGGCCAGTGGAAATAATCCTCACCTCGGTGCTAGAAAGCAGAGTGGTTAGCTCTCTGGGTTAGAGGGGACAACATTGGAATGAGCATCACCGCGCTGAGCTTAGAGCAGATCAAAAGAGGCTCTCTTCTAGACTACAGTAGTCACTTCACTGTAGTCTAGGCTATTATAATAAGGATAAAGATGAAAGGTAAAGAGAAAAAGGAGAGTGTATGTACTGGCAAAACCCCACTCACTAATATTAAGTAAGGGGTTTGTATGGCAATAATCTCTGGGGGGAGGAGTCCTAGAAGGAAAGCCTCAGCCTTAAGTATTTCAAGGCAGGGTTCAGGATGCCTGTTGAACCGGTTCAGTCCCCTTATTGTTACACTATTACTTTGGGGGAAAGTTTCAAGATATTCAAACATGCAAATGTACATGTGTTGACTATCTCTCTTATTTCAGAAAATAGAATTCCATATTTAGAATATCTCTCTTATTTCAGAAGATACACAAGAGAGATACACAAGAGAGATACAAAAGAGAGATAAACAGGATGATAATCACTTGGATAAACACATCAGATAATTATCCTTTTCAATTTGATTATTATTTTCATGAGAGGTACATTAATTATCCAGAGAGAGAGATAAATATTTACAGAGGTAAATCATTATCAATGTAAAGAATAACATTGAATAAATACTTATTAATTCAAAGAATACATATAATAATATTTATTATTATGTAACCTGGAGGGGTTACAATCTTATGTAGACACATGGACTAGTGTCTCAGTGTCTGACAATAAGTAGATCAAAGATCTGCATGATCTTGATTTTTGTATCTATATTTTTATTGCATAAAACTTGTTTGGTTAACTTCTAGCAGAAAACTTCCCATCAATTTCATCCACTTGTTCTGGGGCTCTATAACTGGTTCTAACAAGATTTGCCACTCTGCTTGTGGGTGTCATGTTGCCTCTTGATAGTATGGGAAAAGGGTTTTTTTTTGGGGGGGGGGGCTAAAACCTCCCCCGGCCCTGACCAGATGCAGAGTCTCAGCTAAGTTATCTTAGTGTATTGGTGTGTCTGGGGGGCTTCATTCACAAAAACCTGCATGCTAGATATGGAACAGTGAGCCGTTAAGGGTTCCTACCTTTGAATAGGGGTGGGTGGGTGGTCAAGAAATGAAAAAGGCAGGCTTGCATGGAGACCGGTGCTGGAAAGTTAGTTGAGGAAGGACAAGTTCTGCAAGGACAACTCAAACTAGGCAGGGGAGCTGTAGAAGTATTGGAGCAGAAAGAGGTGACTGAAACACACAGGTGTCGGGAATGGGCTTGGTCCTCTCTGGTCTAAACTACTTATTCCAGGCTGGTCTGACACACATCCTTGGACTGGGCTGGCTTCCCCTGTGTTGCAGCCAACAACAATGATTTTGAACTTTGATTTTCAAATTTGGCAGAGAGGCTCAAGCTCAATCTCAGTATAAGTATATTTTTTGCCTGCAAAATGAGAATTTCCATTTTTTTCTTCGTCCAAGCAACACTGCCACAGATACGATACACTGTGTGTATCATGGAGAATTCTGCAAAGCTGCATGGCCAAAAACCAAATTTGTTGAATCTCCTTGCAAATAAAAGCAGATTGGTCAGATAGTTTTTTTTTATTGGGGCTCAGATACATAGTGATACATGGCAGATATGGGCAGATACGGGCAGATACTGTATCTGTGGCAGCGTTGGTCCAAGGACTTGTCAGACAGGCCTGTACAACCAGCTAGTCTAGGCAGAGAACAAGAAAAACCGTACAATGAAATTTTGATAAGAATGACATGGAAGCCAGATGTAAAAGTACAAAAAACAGCCCTCAAAATCTCATCTTGCTCAGGCCGACTTGGTGCTTTTATGCATAAGCCTCTCTGGTGAGACTGGGCTGCCGCCCAGACCTTCCCGCATGGCACTCTCACCACAAGAGGCTTAGTTAAGCTTGCCACAGGCAAGACTTATACCTAAGGTTGATAGACTGGCCTGGTGAGTTTCTATTGTTTTGGTGGGGGCATCACAAGATCTGGAATCACAATGCTCCCTCAAAACTTTGAGAATTTGGTCTGGAAACTCTTGGACCTGCATGATCCTGTTAATCCATCCAAAGATCAAAACAAGTGCAGCCCATTGTGATTTTATGATATTTTTTTAAAAAGGCATGGTTTGAAATTTTTTTAAAGTTTTCTCACCTTGTGCACACCAACAAAGGTCAAATTGATTGGAAACTCATCCTTTTTGAAAATAAATAGATTTTTTTTGAAAACAGAACAAAAAAATGTGAACAGTGGGAACTGTGTACAGGAAGCCTACTCCATTGAACCCAGAAGGAAATCAGCTATATGGCCGGCCTTCAAAGCAGAATGAAATTATTTAAATAGTGATAAAGCTAAGTTTATATGGGCTAAAGGCTTTTGTTGTGAGGACAAGTAGAGAGTACATGAGAGTCTGTTGATCCAAGACTGGCGGCAAAGCCGCTCTTAGACTCTAGTAACAGATACATCAGAAATACATGAAATACAAAATACAAGTATTGTATTTATTGCACTGTTGCTTTATGCAAGCACTCTTTCTTGATTGGGAACACATTCCAAGTTCCAACTATGTCTAGGTATATGTATATTGTTACAAAGATTTCCTAGTTAATCTTGTGCATGAACAGCTCTACCAATAATGAGATTGTAATATTGTTGCATTTGAAGCTCCACAACTCCAAAATTTTCTTTCTTTGCAATTAAACCCACAAACATTCCTCAGCTCTCCACCTGCTCTTCTACATCAAACAATATGTACTAGAAACCCAATGGATCTGGAATCACAGCTAGGGTTACTGATGTGTCAGATTCTCAGCTACCGTACCCACCACCTGTCCAGTTACCAACATGCCAGACTTGATGAGTGGACCATATGTGATAACAGTTGAGGAATCATGGGTGAACGATAGTGTGAATTATTATAGAAGTCAAAACTACATGCATTTACAAGGAAAGACAAGCATTAATTTTCAAGGTGTTGTTTGTGAATTGGCATAGATTCAAGTTGAGTGATTCCTTCAAATATATGTGCAGAATGAGTGAAGTAGGGCTAAGGTGCGCTCAAAGGTGTGTCTTCAGTCAGTATAGTTAACAGGAAAAAAAGAAAAAAAAAGAAATCTGCCAGCAATGCAATTCTAGTGCCGTAACTTGAACTCTGGGGAAACCCAATATTCCCAGTCCTTCTTGATTTTCTCCTCGCCGGTAACGCAGAGAGCCCTACAAAGGGATATGTGCATCAGTTAGAAAACGGTTTCCATGAGGTTCTGAAAAGAGACTCGGGGCAAACCTCAAGAGGATCTTGTAACTTCCATTGGGAAGCAAGTGCGGTCTCTTTTTTTCTTTGGTCATAATGGTACCATTCCAAGATTTACGATCCAAAAAACCCGCCCTACAAGTTTTTTTCAAGTTGGATGAATTGGCAGACAAAAAGTTGATTGGTACATGAGTTTAGTCTACGTTGATTCTTTGCTCACTCGGTACGTCGAGCCGATTTATCCTCGTTTATAACTGCGGCCAGGCCAATTAATCGCGACCCCCTGAATGATTTCTCAAAGTCATGGTTGCTCGTCGGATTCGACAAGACTGCATTTCCAGGCAAAATGTCAGCACGAATAAGAGGAGAGCCAACTGTTAAAAAAAGAACATCCGCAGAGCTCATGAGTTTATTGGACGCTCGCACATTAGAAAATGCATGGCGCGAAAGCGATCATACAAAGGGTTCTATAGTTCAGGTCAGTTGAGTTGTTTTTCTTCAAATTCCAGATGAACGTCTTGTTCAACGGGGAAGGAGTTTCCTCAGACGGCAGGTTTGCTGATTTCCGCGTCGATCTGGTAAACGAAAGATAAGGGTAAATTACCGTTCCGTTTTCGTCTGGACCTCGGTCAATAACTAGCAGAACAAGAGGTTACACAGACAGTTCATCTCTCCTTGGTTCGATTTCTTAGGGCACACGGGATCAGGAGAACTTACTTGACTGTTCTTTAAGCGATCCGGCCACACCATAATAAGGGAGGTTATGACTTTCACACTCAAGATTGGCACTCTGATTTGAGGAGAAGTCGTATATGAGCTCGGCTGATAATTTCGCTCGAAGAACCAGGACAACATCGTGATATATGTTTGACGCTTACCATCGCGATGTAGCCAGAATAAACAGCGAGCCAACGGGGATTCACTTTCTGGGGTGGTGAGAACTTCACTTTGACCACTTGGGATGAGCCTGGCTTCAGTCTGAATTTCTTGGGCCTGATGTGAACAGTTGCTGACTTATTCAACCATTGGGGTTGTTCATCTGGTCGACCATACTTGCTATCTTTTGAAAATGTCTGCATCGTTAGAGCTGGACGATGGTCCAGAACGTAATCAACAGTGCTGGCGCCTTCATTGAAAATTGTGAATTCTTGATTTCCTCGGAAGGAGACTGAATCATTGAGTACCAGGCTTGCAGTCGAGATGGTAGTGTTTGTCCAAACAGCGCAGTAGGCGTCGATCAGTCCCCCGCCTTGATGAACAACAGCTAGAAAATCGAAACCGTCAGAATTGCAGAGGCTAAATGCCAAGATCACAACATGCAGTTCCTTACTGTCAAGACGCTTGGCGACAATGGGACTATCCAAAAGCTTGCCGGCAGCTGCCAATCGTGAGCGCATTGATATTCCAGTGAAGTTTTTACCTCTGGCGCTCAATATCAATGCGGCTATCCCAGCGATCTGAGTAGATCAAAGCAAAAAAAAAGTCAAGGCCCCATAAAAGCTTAAGACAAGGAAATATGTATACCTGTGGGGCTGCCATAGATGTCCCGCTCATCGTGGCCTGGTAATGAAAGACATAAGATTTCTATCAGAAAGATTGCCCTGAATGACCCGATATCGCTCACAGAGGATTACTCACATAGCCACCCTCTGTCATGGAAAAGGTTGCTGAAATGATTACAAGAAACAGAGGTGAGTCATTGAGACTTTTGAATGGTGAAACTAGCTATAGCTAACACACAAACCACGTTACCACCAACGGCAGCTATCGCCGGCTGGGGACTCTCAAAATCAAAGCTAGGCCCACTACGATTGAATTTCAATCAGCGATATGAAGCAGTGATGGTACTAGAAATAAAACATAAACTGAACTATGTAGAATAAGCGCTTGGTAAGCCTCCGTGTGGGTCGTGCACTAATGAGAGCAAGTCACTATCATTATCGGTGGAAGTCGATCGCCATGCGATATGAAGAGCTTGCATACATACCATATAGGTGATTGCTCGGCGGAAATGAGACTTTGAATCCAGTTGGATCCTTCTTAGCCTGATTAAAAATATATTTTCCATCTTCCAACGAGATTGGGGCGATAGAGACATTAAATTCGTCGAATTGATCGGGCACCGGCACAAAAGATGTCGAATTCTACGATGATATAAAATCTACTCAGTCGTGAGGTGATTGAGCAGAGAGTGCAAAAGACGACTAACCATGTACAATAAGATTTGTTTGCCACCTTTTGTGGCGACGTTTCTCACTTTGTCAACAAATAAACAGGTCCTGTCGTGACCGGTCTCGTTAGAGAAATCCACTGCTTATAAACTCGAAAGACTGGTCACGTACCCTCTCTTGACAAGGACGGCATAACTAGTGAGATTTGGAGTGTGCTTTGGTAGTTCATCACAAGCATCACTTGGGTCGCTGGTTGAATTGGCTGTAAGGTAGATCGGATACTCGCCGGGGAGGTTCAAAGTGTTTGTGCGGTACATCGTGAGCTCCTTACCAGTCGAGGCTTTGAATTTACCCACGACTTGGGACTGTGCCTCCACGGAACCAACCGAAATGACATTCTTCGCTGATGCTGGATAGTCCGCAAAGAACAACCCCTCCTGTGACAAGGACCAAAAAAAACGAGGAGGTCAATCTTCAACGACGGGAAGCTGAGCAGCAGCTACATGCAAGGCACGTCTTTTCCTTACCTCGCCCGAATTTCCGGCCGCGGCAATTATGATTGCTCCCTTCTCTTGAACCAACTTGTTGACTGCTGTTAGTACTTCGCCACTATCCCCCCAGCCACCGATTTTACCAACAGATACTGAAATTATGTCCGCTGAAAGGTAGCCAGCCAAGCCATGAGAGTGTTTTTGAAGTCAAGTTTCAGATTCTGATTACTAGAGTACCAGGTGGAAAGAGTCAAATCACACTCACCCCCATCTTTGTAAGCTTGTAAAAAACCGGCTAACAAGAGATCATCACTGGTGGATTCTTCTACTCCGCATCCAACAACTGTTCAGTCACATACAAGGTGTGAGTTTCCCCACAAATAGACATTTTGGACCAGAAGGTAGCGACTTACCGCCTTGATCGCAATTACAATTTTTGTTTGTTGAAATCAATGATGATCAGCTTCCTGATGCACATGATAAAATGTAGATGATTTGATCCTTACGATACATGCCAAGGGTAACATTAGGAGCAACTCCAGTAAATCCATAGCCAGCATCTGACGCCGCGACGATTCCAGCGACGTGTGTTCCATGAGACTATCAAACAAGGTGGTCAGAATGTTGTATCTCAAACCACACGAACATTACTTACTTGACACTGGGTACAAGGGTTCTGGAAATGTTTCTTCTGAGAATTCACATTGACAGCTTCCTTGACAGCACTTTTTTTATCACCATGGTTGTCAACAAAACTTCTTCCAAAACCGATCTTGAATCCTGGTCCGAAGCCATTTCCCATTGCCGGATGACTACAATCAACACCATAGTCAATCAAGGCGACCCTGATCCCTTGTCCATAAACACCCATCTTATGAAGTTCGGAGATCCGAGTCTGGACGTGAGGGGGATATTCTGAAGAGGTCGAATTGATGGGTTGATTTAACATAAGGCTTTTCTGGAATGCACCAGCCTGCGAGAGTTTCTCAACTCGACTGATTCGCTATGCAAAATATGTCCAGCGCCCAAAGTAGAATATTATAATTAACCAATCAAAAGGTCTTAGCATGAAATTGAAATACTCGCATACCTCCACATGGGCAAAACTTTCCAAGTGTTCCAAATCACTCTCATTTGAGAGTTGAACTGAAACACCGTAATAAACCTCCGGTACTTGATTTGTCAAGTCTAATAAAATTTTATACTGGACGCCTAAGTCGTTGAGGTGCGCTTGGAACTTTTCTAATGAGCTCTACCATTGAATAGATTATCGTGCTCGTTAGTTTTTTTTGCTATCGGCCTATTATGAGAATGCAAGTGGGGGACTCAACCGATTTTGTGCGGTTGAAAGAAACAAGATACCGTGGTGCTGAGTAAGGAATAGAAATAGGCTGAGCGACAGTCGTAAGGGTTGTTAAAGCGAGTGTGATGAAAAAACATAAGAACGAGCGCGTAGGATGAAAGGCCATCTCTACAAGGATGGTGAGGGAAGACAGCAGTAAAGTAAAAATAAGTGACTGTGGTCTGCTGATCTGGATCTTTTTCAAATCAGCGGGACTGGGTCCAAGTGGTTTTGAACTTTTGACACGTTCTCTGAACACTGTCACAATGTAATCTGTTTCCCCAGATTCCCAAGCAAAGCGTATTTGGATTGATTGTGAGTGCGATCATCCCATGACACCTGCCAAAAAAGGTGTTGAACGTGGGTTACATTCCTTCGATTGCAGAATCAACTCTCCCTCCACATGAGGAAGGCAGGTGATTGAGATTCTTGTAAAGATGAAGTATGGACTACAAAATCTGAATTCCTTGAGCAACAACACCCAAGTTCCTTCTTATTGCAATCCCTCACATTTTCCCCCTTCCTCTCCTGAGTCCTGCCCTCCTTTCATGTCTCATTTCTCCTATGTCTTCCTTCCTTTCCTTTTTTCTTCACACTTTCTCTCTCTGCATGTAGCAGCCTGTTTTTTTTAATATTGTATCATCTTGTAGTCAAAACCGGCATCTCCCTCAGCATGCCAACCACTGACCAGCCACCTCTAATTTTGGTATTTCCATAGTGCCAATGTAAAACCACTGCACCCCAATTTCTCAAAGCTGTAATAGCTCAGACATTGTCTTTCTCTTATATAACTCTTGGAGACAATCCAATTTTGATGACTTTTCTGGCCTTGAGGGAACAAGTCCTCAGTAGTGGGGAAGCACAAATTTAGGGTTTTTGCATAGACTGCCAAAATATTAGTGTCTCATTACTTTCCAGGGGATTTTACTTCAAGCATGTGCATAAAAAATGTATGAAAAGACTACAAATGCTACCCCCTAGTGTCCCCCAATGCATGAATTTGAACAAAATTATGAGGGTTTCTGGAATGTAAGCTGAAAATTTGATTTAAATTTTGTAGCAGTTCTCCCTATTGGCAGTTTTAAAGGTCCAAAACTTTAACACTTTCCCCAAAGCAACATAAAATTATTTCAAATCTCGAACTCCATTACATTTCATCTGTTATGCCACCCAATAAATTGCTTTTTTAATGATTGTTACAGTTGTGTAATTTTATTCTTTGATCTTCATTAAATATTTTTGGCATGTTATGCTGTTAATTTTTATTTTCACCTCCCTACCACAATTGTTCCAAAAGTCAATAAAAACTTACCAGCATTCTCATTCACTTCAAAACTCTCCAAATACCATCTCATATCTCCCGTTTCCAGATTCATTTCAAGTATTTTCTTTTTCCAAAAGGTTGGAATATCTCAAAAGTGTTTTATCATTTTTATCTTTTTATGCATTAAAAAGCTTGTTTTATTTTGTTTTTTTTCCAAGGATTCCATAATCTATATGTATCCCACCTTTTGCTTCTCCCTCCCCTTCCCCTATCCAGCAACCTGATGGCCAGCCACACACTCCCCTCCCAGCCTGGTAGGATGTAGCAAGGGATGGCTGGGTGATCAGGGTGAACTTTTCACCCTAATTCCAAATATGAGCTTCAATTTGCCAGAGATTTCTTAGAAAGAAATTAATTCTGGATTGCAGTGTCAGTTCTTGGGTCCAATCACACACACCTGTCAAAACCCAAACCTGTAAAATTAAAGTTTTATATCAAAGGCATGGGGTATGCCTGGATCTTCCAAAATAAAACTTTTTCAAAGGTTCCAAGATTTTTGGAAAAGACAATACTTTTGGGCAGACTGGGGTATTAGCCTGAATAGAATTTCTGGGTGGAAGGACACGATCAAAATCACTCTAGGCAAAATTTATTAACTACTTAGTTTGGGCTAGCTTTTGACAACACAATTACTTTGAAAATCAGTTTTTGAGGGAAGTGGAAAACCAGCTTGAGGAGACATTGATTTGTAATCAAGTGAAGGATTGCTAGTTTTTTCCTGAAATCCTGCAAATTCTCACTAACATCTTCTACCACTACTCCCTGCATTGAAAGAATTGAAATACTGAGAACTCAGATCCCAGTTTGCCCAGAAACTTTCTGTCAACTGATACACCTCCAGATTTTTTTTTCTTTGTGGCAGACTGGGGCAAGTAGTGCTACCTGTTTGCCAAAGAGAGCTCTTGGACATGTACCTTCACTGGTAAGCTGGCAGGTGCAATTAAATACTGCACAAAGTTACAACTTTCCATCTTTGACCTGTTTATCTTTCATATTTCTGGCTTACCAACAAGAAATGGATTTGAATTTGAATTCTTTCTATAATTGAGGAATTCATCTCTGGTCTGAAAACAAGATGCTTCAGTCATGCTACTTTCCATTAGATACTCATTCCAAAAACAGGTTTGTGATATAATCTAACTTGCCCAGAATTCATTCATCCACCCAACTCAAAATGTCTGAAAGAAATTTTACAAACAAAGTTTTACAAGAGAAATAGTCAAAACAATTGACAAAATGACAGTCTCATGAACACTTCAATTTGAATTATGTGGTGCAGAAAAGTTACAAAAAATTATTCCTAGAAAAAAAAAAACAGATATGCTATAGTGAGAGTTCACAATAAAATAAATTAGGACAGTATTTGCAAGAATCAAAAGGCCACTCTACAGTATTTTTTAATTCAAATGTACATATGAGGGTGGAAGTTTGAGGAAAGCATCCCAAACTCAAAAGGAATGTATTTGGGAGTCTTCCCATCTACCCTTAGGAGTTTTTCAACTTGAACTGTGGGAAGCCAAATACTCATAGTTGGTCTTGTTTGTCTTGTTTCTAGTAACACACAAAGCCCTGAAAAATACACCATTGATTAGAAACTGCAGTCTTTAATGTCAAAAGAACAACCAAGCAACAGACCTCAGGAGAACCTTGTAATTCCCATTTGGTAAAAAGTGAGGTTTCTTTTTGGATTTTGTAACAAATGTGGAATTCCAGGGTTTTATATAGGAATCAACTGTACCGTGGGATTTACAAAATTGTGTTACATGACAGAGGGTCAGTCATCCATCTTCATTTTGACAAAACACAATTATGGCAAACCGAGAATGTGAAAGTGAGAAAGTATCACTGTCTGTTATGAGACCCAGCAAGTGTGAGCCCCTGAATGATTTTTTGAAGTCCTTACTGCCTATTGTGTTGGATAAGTATGAATTTCCAGGTAGTACATCAGCATAAAGAAGACTTGTGCCAACTGTGGCAAAATAGCACATGGTAAGTGTTTGTGCTAGCATTGTTGCTGTAAGGAGTAGTCAAAAAGGTCTTCCAGAGCATTCTAAAATGAAGGACAGCTGTCTTGTGTGCTTTCAAGTCCCATACAGAAGTAGTGTTCAGGGGGAAGGGGGGCTGGGATTTGACTTTTGTATTGGTGATATTTTTCATGATATAGGGATAGCTGGTGTACACTCTCAAAAGCTGGGAGGAATCCCTCCCAGTTTCTGAGCGTCATAGACTCTCAGCAGCCAAGAGGGAGAGACCTCTTGGCCACTGAGAGCTCTCTGGGCCCAACTCCCACCCCCCTGGGTTTTTTAGAAGATTTAATCCCAAAACGCCCTGGTGTAAGACTCAAAAGTGGTTGTGAAAACCCTTTTGCTGAATGGAGAAGGAGATGGTGGAGTTTCAATCTCTGCCCTATTGAGGCACAGCTCCGTTTCAAAACTGCGGACCAAGCCCTGATTAGGTTTGAACTCTGTTGATGATACACAGCAACCCTAATGTAGATCTTGTTATTTCAACTCTGTTTTTCATTCATCTCATTTTTTGCTCTTCATCAATTCAAATCACTCAAACCTTTCACTCAATCTCAGCAGCGGTGGGCCGCTAAAAAAGCATAGCGTAGTGGCGCTTTTTTGCGCCAAAGATTTGTAGTGTTAGCGTTTTTTTAGCAGATTTTTGTTACTCTATGCTGTGCTACAAGGCCAAAATGTTTCTAACCAGCGTTTTAGTGTAGTGTAGTGGGCCCTTTTGGGGGCCTATGCGCATAGTGTTAGTGCAGATGTGGAGGAATTCTGCTATGCTACGCTAAATTTTAGCAGAATTCCGCTACACTAACACTGTGGTTAGTGTAATTGGCCCACCGTTGATCTCAGGTATGCCTTGTATTCACCTTTCTCTCATTTACTGTTTTTGTTCTCATTCCTCACCTGTTTCTCTTCATTTCTCAGGTGTGCCTCTGCTGTCCTACTCATCTCTAAGCCGCTTGTGTTGCTCACAGCGCATTTGCTATCATAGTTTAGTGTATAGTTATCATGTCTCTCTCATGTTTTTCATTCATCTCATTTTCTGCTCTGCATCAATTCAACTAAATCAATCTCAGGGGTGCCTCCACCACACTACTCATCTCTACGCCGCTTGCGTTGCTCACAGCGTATTTGCTATCATAGGTGCGCCTCCACTGTCCTAATCTTCTCTACACCGCTTTTGTTGTCCACAGCGTATTTGCTATCATATGTTGTTTTTGTCCCAGTTATGAGTCCATTATTCCCTTCTATGTTATCAGAAGAACAAGACCACCAAGCTTAGCTTGGCAATTAGGGTTTTGGAATTCCTGATGACTGTCAGCAGATGGTCCTCTCAATGTCCCTAAAATCTGGGAATCAGAACTCCAATTTTAGGGAGTCAATTAACCAACCCCGTATAGAAATTGAATTGGGGGCTTGGAAAAACAACTCCCAAGGACCGTCAGCGGACATCAATGGGATTCTTTGACTAATCTGGGGGCCATCCCTTTTCATTTTATTATTATTTTTTCTTTGAGTATTTGGGAGTCGGCTCCCCAAACCACCCCTCATGCATGCAGGGTTTGGGAGTTGTTCTCACCAGACTGGAAGTAATCCCTTATGGTCATGCACCTCATTGACTGGAAGGGATTCCTTCTGGCAGCGGTGGGCCGCTACGCTACAGGCCCATGTAGCGTTAGCGTAGCGGCACCATTTTTTCGTGTAGTGTTAGCGCACCGCTGGCGCCGCTACGCTGCGTTACGCTACGCTACAGCGTTTTTAGCAGCAAAAACGCCAAAAAACCGCTAAAAATGGCTGTAACGCAGCGTAGCGGGCGGTTTCTTGCGCCCTGTGCGCGTAGCGGTAGCGCACATGGGGGGAATTGCGCTAACGCTACGCTAAACATTAGCGCAAATTTTTCCCCCATGCACGTAGCGTTAGCGCAGAAATTGAAAAATGTGCTAACGCTACGCTACATTGTAGCGCTTTTTCACTACACTACGCTACACTAACGCTACAGTTAGCGTAGCTGGCCCACCGTTGCTTCTGGTCAATAAGGTCTTTGCAACTCATTGACCAGAAAGAACCCCCTTGGGTCAATGATGTTCAGATACCTCATTGATTGGAAATGATTCCTTCTGATTGATGAGGTATTTGCACCTCATTGAACGGAAAGAATCCCTTCCTCTCAATGAGGTATTTGCATCTCATTGATCAGAAGTGATCCCTTCCAATCAATGAGGTATTTGCACCTCATCAACCTGAAGGGATTCCTTCTGGTTGATGAGGTCTTACAATCTCATCTATTTTAACGGATCCCTTCTGATTGATGAGTTAATTGCACCTCATTGACTGGAAGTGATTCCTTCCAGTTGATGAGGTCTTTGCATTTCATCAATCAGAAGGGTTCCCTAACCCTTCCAATTGATGTGATATTTTCAACTCATTGACTGAAATGGATTTCTTCCAGTCAATGAGGTATTTTCACCTCATCAATTGGAAGAAATCCCTTCCAATTGATGAGGTATTTGTACCTCATTTAATGGAGGGGGTTCCTTCCAGTCAATGAGCTGCATGACTGGAAGGGATTCCTTCTGGTCAGGAGGGAAAGACTCCCAAACCTCCTATGCATGAGGGGTGGTTTGGGGAGCCAACTCCAAAATAATCAAAGAAAAAATAATAATGATAAAAATGGGGTAAAAACTCCTAAAACAGCCCCCAGATTAGTCAACAACTCCTAATGGAAGTCTGCTGATGTTCCTTGGGAGCTGTTGACTAATTTTTGGGAGTTTTTTTTCCAAGCCCCTAGAATTAATGGCTCACCTTTGAAGATGTGTGGCCATTCCATTTTCAAAACACTTCTCCACTCAATCCAATCTTCAGGTTACCAAGGGGTATTGGCAAACATGCAGATGGGAAAGAAGTTTTGGCAGTCCAACAAGTACAAGGAAGACTTGTAGCAAGAAGTAATTGATTGTGTACATAAATGACTTGTCATTGGCCCTTGAAGCCTGGCTACAACCAGTGCATTGATAAATGCACACCCTCCCCCTTCCCTCCCCTCCAAAAGGGGCGGGAAGTAAGACCTGCCCTTCTTTTTGGGCGGGTTTTGCTACATGCCCCTCTGTTTGATGACATTTGCAAAAAGAGGGGTGTGCTTTACAACCCACCCAAAAAAGGGTGGGTTGGCCTGCACGCCTGGCCTTGATGGCCAGGAGCTTTCCCTCCTGGCCCTTGATGCTTGAGCAGACTTGACGACCGGGTGGAATCCCTCCTGGCTATTGATCAGACTGTACAAGTCTTGAAGACCAGGCTCCCAGCTATTGAGACTGTACAGGTTTCAATGGCTGGGAGGGATTCCTCCTGGCGTTTGAGACTTGTACAGTCTCAAAGAGCTGGAGGAATTCCTCATGAGTCCTGCCCTTTGATATTTTCACAGCCTTGATGGCCCGGAGGGAACCTTGTTGAAATCCTGAAACAACTCTGCGCTGCTCCCAGGATCATCGCACTCCGCTCTCAAACATACCTAATCCCACACTTGCTCACTCTCCTCTCAACCACAACTTGAACATCTTGCCCACTCTCCTCTCAGCCACAACTTGAACATCAGTACCTAACATATAAATAGCCTCAGATCTCTCACACTCACTCACTCGGTTCACTCAGCAGCTTCACTCACCTTGCCAACAACTTCACCAACTCATCCCAACCTCACCGCTGCTGCTCCCAATACTCAACTCAGCTCAGCTCACTCTCACCCAATCCTCTTCAACATTCTACACTCAACAATCTCTGCTCACTCTTGTCTATCCTTTCCCTTCCGACTCCGTTTCATCTCCTCTTCCATTCTCTTCCTTCTCTCTCTATTCTCTCTCATCCTTTACTCTCACCAATCCCAATACCACATTGACTATCATCTTCAACCCTCAAGTTACCTTCTCAACTCTCCAACTTCAATCATTGACACCTTCAATTGGTTATTACCAATTTGGTGAGAAAACCAGCAACACTCACCTCCCCTCTCCTTCATCAAAAAGAATCGTTGCACTTACCTTCTCTTCCTTTTTTCTCTTCAGTGTCTACTACCTTTCTCTGTTTGATCTTCTCTACTTCAGCTTGTCTATTTTCTTTCTGGTTTATTCCGCTCGTGGTATGCTTCCTGAATCCTCTTTTGTCATCCTTGATCTCATTGTTATCTTGTTCTTTTCTAACTTGTTTTTCATCTTTCAGCTCTGGTTCTAGTCACAGTAATTCATCATGTTTTTCATCAAACCTCCCGGTCGTCAAAACCAAGCAGTCTTGACAACTGGGAGGAATCCTCCCGGCCATTGAGACTGTACAGGTCTCAAAGGCCAGTAGGAATCCCTCCCGGACATGGGCAGACATGGCTCTCCAACAGACGGCCCCAGAGAGACTGTTTGAAGTCAAGTAGGTGGTCAAAATGAGTCAGTGGTGGCCGGCAGGGGGAGGCTTGGAAATCATCCATGTTGGTGGGCAGATGATTCTTTTTGTCTGTTGTTGGTTCTCTGGGGCGGGCACCTTGGCTAGCCCAACACCAAGGCCAAAGGGAACTCCAAAACCAACTCCATCGACCTTGGCTGCTGGTTTGGGGGAACCTTTAAATGCTCTGGCCACAGTCTTGACAGCCAATTTCAATAGCCTTGTGCCAGGCACGCTGATGTAAGCAAAACACTTCAGAGTGTTTTGCTTACGTCAGCCCGGCTAAATCTGGTCCCAACCCACCTTTTTTGGGCGGGTTGTACTGCACACCCCTCTTGTTGCAAATTTCAGAAAACAGAGGGGCGTGTAGCAAAACCCGCCCAGAAAGAAGCACCGGTCTTACTTCCGGCCCCTTTTGGAGGGGTGGGAGGGGGAAGGGTGTGTGTTTATCAATCCACCCACAGCTGTCAGCCTTCCACTTTGACACTCTTCCCAACAACACTGGAAGAGAGAACATACCTTTGGTGCCACCGTCAACCAACAGCTTGAACATACAAATCTGTTTTGGTTCTCATATGGTGCTCAAAACTGCATATGAAATTTTTAGTATAACAGTAGAAAGCGAGATTTGGCCGGGAGATTTAAAGCTCAAATTGACAGGTCCCAGCCAAAATGGCAGTTTATACTGTTAAGTAAAACTTTACATATGCAGTTTTGAACACCACATTGGCATTCACAATCATCACATTGATCCATTGGCCTGCTGGAACAAAATCTACATAACCCCCAGATCACAAGCTTTATAAACATCATGTATGTAAGTAAAACCCTTCATCCTTCCTTGTCTTGAATCTTCCAATAATATGTCTAGAAAGAATAGACACACTTCTTGATCAGTCCTCTGGTAATATATATTAGACAACAAGTTACATAATCTTTCTGTTACTTATTTCCTCACTTTTACATTGAGGTATGCACTGATTCACTGCGTAAACTCTCTGCTTGGACATGGTTGTCCAACAAGAGGTTGGACTTGCCTCTCCAAGCAGATCATTCTTCCCGTCAACAGCTTGGACAAGCCAGTTCAACAACTCGTTGGACAGCTATGTCTGAGAACTGCTTGGGCAGGCCACTCTGATGAGTTGTTGGGCTGGCATGTCCAAGCAGTTAGCTGAGGCAGTGATTGGATTGTGCACATGGCAGGCATGTACTCTTTTGGCTGGCCAATCTCCTTTCTCTGTAATATGGATGAGAATCGATTGACATGTCTCAATTATGCATCAAGAGATTTTTCAGAAGTAATGGGAATGTGCCATGACTCACCAGTGGCAGAACTGAAAATGGTCTGTTCTAGTAATTAGTGATATGTATTGACCATATCTCCATGCCACTTGCATGGAGGTCACCAATTAATCTCAACAGTGTACCAACTTGATAGTGAGCTTTCAAAAAAGAAACAAAGAAACTTCCCAAGCCTATGTTGCTTGGATAGATCATAATTTTGATGTAGTCATGATGATGACAAGACAATCAGATTATGCATTTAAATAGAATTAAAGAGATTGTGTTTTACAAGATATAGAGAGAAAGAAAGAGATTACAGATTGACTTTGTATAAAGATACATGATACACACACATAAAGAAATGTGACATGATAGACTTATCAAAAAAAGAGAATAAATTGTGTACATGTAAGTTGAGATGAGAGGATACAGTAAAGCTAGATTCAAGCTACATAGAGTGTTCTCATCAAGATCATACAATAGATAGGAAAAGTGATAATGGTGATCTTGACAATCATGAGAAGATTATTAAAAAAAGGAATAGGTTAAGGGTGGATGAATAACAGTTTTTTTTTGCTAAAATGAAAGAAAGGGGTAGAAAAGAAAGTGCATGAATGATTTCCACAAAAAAAAAGAACTGAAACTACTACATGAAAAACCCCCAATGTAAAATCACTATACAAAGAAAAAAACAAAAACAAAACTCCTATCTTCATTCATCTTTTACTGATTCATTCAATCAAAGAAAGGGTACCAATAAGGAAAAATAAGAACTGAATTAACTAATCAACGATGTCCAGGAAAAGAAAAAGGAAAGCGAGTAATAAGAAAACAAGGAAAGAAAGAATCCAGAATAAAAAAAATGAGGATTTGTTTCACTATGATCAGCCATGAAGAAGAAGAAGAAGAATTAAAAGACCAGAATGTGGGAAGATTAATGAGACCTTATAATATGAAGAAGCAGCAACGGTTTTAATACAGCAAAGCGACGGTCTTATTGAAAGAGGAAGAGGATCCATTGGTCCTAGTAAAGGAGCCAATGTTGGAGTCCCACTAGCACTCAAAGTGGAAGGGACAGCAGCAAAAGAAGAAGAAGAAGGATGATCATGATGAGTGGCGGAAGGAGGCGGCGAGACGGAGTTACCAAAGAACGCATTTAGGTCGACCAGGACGAGCAAGAACGGATCGTCAACCATCGTTGTTGTTCCCCCTTGACCCTCTGATTCGCTCGACGGATTCGCGCTCATGACAATCGAAGAAGGGTTGTTATTGTTTGAAGAAGTGGAGGTGGAAGAGGCAATCGAGTGGGTCAACGAGTTCAAATAGCTCGAGACGATCCGACTGTTCCTATGGATCATGACAGCCGATGAGGTCGGCTGCTTAGATAGACCAGAAGAGGCGCCAACGGCCGAAGGGAGTTGGATGGCGAAGTGGGACTTGAGGATGTTGATGAGCTGCCTGTCGATCTTGATGGGCCGACTGAAGGGGCCATGTAGACGGAACCTGGCTGTTCTGGTTGAGGAGGGAGAACTTAGGGAGCTGTTCGGCGAGATAGACGGCGGGACAGAGGGAGTCGTCGTCGTCGTCGTTCAAAGAGGCCGGAGTGGAAGAATGAGAAAAAGCGCCTTTGGAGACGATCGCCTGGAGCGCCTTGATCTTGCTCAACTCGTTCTTGATCATCACCATCGGTTTCTGGATTTCTCTTCGACCAGCTCCGGTGGGCATGACCAACGTGCCGGCTCGACTGGTCACCGTCCTGGACGACATGCTCGTCATAGCGCCGTTCTGGAGCCGACGCGCCCCCCCCCCCAGCGGCTGTAGCTTGCTCTTACTGCTCCCCTCCCGACTCATCATCGTGCTCATCATCGGCATCCCCATCGGAATAATCGAAGGCGTCGATATCACTTTCGTCGTCTTCTGACTCACTTTCTCAATCTTCTTCGCCCGGATCGCATATCGTAATGTGTTCATGAAACTTTCGTTCAACTGCTCTCCATAAACAATCAGTTTCATATCCTAAAATCTACATACATACGAGAAAATGGGTATTTACGTGTTGCGCGTTTTGACTGATCATACAACTAATCAAAATCCTCTCCGAGCTCCCACCCGAACAGTCCTTAAGAAGTCGAGTAAATTTACTCTCCCAATACAGGATGTGGTTCTGCTTCTTGCTTTTCTTATCAGTCTGTGAGAAGGACGAAGACGGTCGATTACTAAGTGCCAAGATCACAGTTCCTAGCGAGTGTAATCGGGCCTATTCATGATCACAACAGAACAAAAAATCAGTTTCATTTTTTTTTATTTTTTTTTTTTGAAAAGAGAAAGGAGACTGAGGTTGATGAAAATGTCTTCTTTGAATCGATGAGGACCCCGAAAAGATTTTTAGTTCTATTAATCCGTTCCAAGTCTACCAGATCGACGGATTGAAATTGAGAGGAAGTTTTCTTGACCACATTAGACGACGAGGCAGGATTGGAAGGATTGGCAGACGAGGAGGAGATCAGATGAAGAGTGAAGATAGGATGAGAGCGAGAAGAGGCTTGAATTATTTGAGTGAACCCAATAGATCGTTGATTGAGACCATGATGGAAGAGCGACATGGCTTGATTGAGATCACTAATCTTCAGCTTCTTACCAGCCTACCAAGTCAATTGGTCCGTCACGCTTATCCTCGTTGATTTCGATGGGCACTTTTTTCTAGGTCTTGGAGGGACAGAAGGCGAAGATCAGATCTTATGTGGAGTCGGGGGAGGAAGGGAGTTTACATAGAGCCCAAGGAATGGGCTCTTCCTGTTGACCAAGATGGTTGCTCTCAAGAGAAAAGCTTAGGTGTCTCCGATGGGATGGGGATGATCACGATGTGTGTTGCATTCATAGATTTAAATAGATTAATGGTGGGCAACAGACAGATATGTAACTCAAGAAGGCACAAGTGTAGGAAAGGAAGGCACAATTAGGGGAGCTGATCTTGAGGAGCAGCTGCTCTGGCGAGACCTTGTCTGAGGGATGCTAAATCATGATTGAGGAGTCCAAGTTGGTTGGTGATTAGGTCCAATTGTCCTTGGAGTTGCCTCTCGAACCTGGCAAATCGTTCCTCCTGTTGCCTCTCGAACCTGGCGAATCGTTCCTCCTGTTGCCTCTCCGACCTGGCAAACATTGCCTCCATTGCTGCCACAGTGGCAGGGGCCAGCTGAGCTGGGGGGTCTTTGGATAAAAGGTGAGGGAGGATGAGCAAGGAGAGTTTGATGAGAAAAAAAAAAAGAAAAGAAAACATACCTTGGGCAGCTAGCAATCGGTTAGAACTCCGCATGACTTCCAAGTGGTTTCTAGCGGCGGTTGCAGTTCGGAGGATGTTGGTTGATTGGGCTGGGAAGGGACAAAAAGAAGTGAGGGGGATGTACATATGTGTAACAGATGATGAGACATCAAAGGGCTGACCAACCTTGGTGAGCTAGAAATTGGTGCTCCCGGATCAGTTGCTGGGACAAGGAGGTGAGGGTTGGGGGGTTTGGTGTTTCTGGGAGTGGCTCAGGAGCCTGTCTTGGACGGAACTGGGCCATGGTATTTATATCTAGGTAACAAGTGTTGATGTATGCATGTATGTGATATGTATTAGGGTGGCTTAAAAGGAGGGGATGATGGTGTTTGTCTGTCTCGGGTCGACATTGATTCCCCTTAAATATGTATGACCCATTCACCTCCTCCACTGCCAGCTTGGAGGCTCGGTTTCAGAATGGTCCTGCTACAGGACCACTAAAAATGCTCCCCATCGGACCTCCAAGGAGCTTGGACACTGTCAACAGCCCGATTTTCTTTTCTTTCTCTTGTTTTCCTTGATGAAACCGATAAGAAGCCGTTTGGATAGCAGTAGTTTGCAAAAGTGATCCAAAGGCTTGTCGTATGCCTCTGCACACACTTGGCTTCAAACAATTCGGACACTGACTCCCTCTGTCCCACCGTCTCAGGTCCATGTTCATCGAGTCGGGGAGGACTGATCAACGCCTACTGCGCTGTTTGGACAAACACTACCATCTTGACTGCAAGCCTGGGGCACTCAATGATTCGGTCTCCTTCTGAGGAAATCAAGAATTCATGATTTTCAATGAAGGCACCAGCGATTTTGATTACGCTCTGGACCATTGTCCAGCTCTAACAATGCAGACATTTTCAAAAGACAGCAAGTATGGTTGACCAGATGTCCAACCCCAATCATTGAATAAGTCAGCAACTGTTCACATGGAGTCCTGACAATACCTTCTTCTTCGAACAAAGAATGTATGTAGTGTCCAAGGATTTGTTGGTTCATTGTGTTTGGCTGTGTAGAACAAGAAGGCCCTTACAGAGAGGTCTGTAACACCCGCTGAAATGCGTGGTCTCAGTTATAGCCATTTGGAGATACCGAGTTTTCACCTACCCTCCAAAGTTGCCCGAAGGCTTCCGGGTGTCTCGATTATTCTCTGAAACTGCTGAGAGCCACTGATGTACGATTCTACCAATACTTAAAGATGTTTTCAGGAGGTTCATTTAGTGATGTCCGTGATCAGGGGAATGCGATGGGTCATACTTGGTTCCGGCTGTTGATTGAGATTCTGGTTTTTTAGGGGATAGGATCAGGTCTGTTACAATCTGCATTTCGCCGGGATTTTACCCTATCCAGCCACGGCTTCAAGGTCCCTATCTCATCTGAACCCATGCACCGGCCACCGAACCGCGGATGTGTGTATGTATTTACATATGTATACTGATCGAGCTGTCAGCTGCAGCCGTTCGTTTTGTACTGCCCCTCAGTTTTCTCACATTTTTGAACATGAGCAACAAGCGGCCCGACTGGATGGGTCATGGATGGTATTTAAATGCTGACTCATCAACGGTCATCAACCCATGTGGGATGTGATGACAGACGTAGATCGGAGTGCATCATATCCAGATGCTGTTGATGACCTGTCTTGGATCCCCTAAACCGCTGAAGCCATGGATTTCGAGCAATGTGATCCGCTGGCTGCTGCTCCAAAATTCAATCAAGCAACACTATAGACTCTAGTCCAACCACAAACACGCTCTGGATTGCATGGCTCACACCGAGGACGAGATTAACAAGATTACCCAATCTGTTGGAAGGGGCTGACAGTGGACATGCACCCATCTTGCTGGGATTTAGCATATCGGGTCCCAGTTGTCTTGCCGTGCGGCCCCTTTCCTCGAGCCAGGAAACAAAATCTAGCTTGATGTCTCTGCCTTGGCGCGCCCTGCCGAAAATCATCCCAGGTTGAACTCACTTGCCATCAGGAAACCTTCCCGAATTCCCACAGAGCGCGAGGATGTTGATTTTGAAAGCACGCACATTTCCTTGGACTGTTGTATGTACGACTATCGCGCTTCTCTTTTTGCCTTGGATTCAATGTGGACGAACTGGAGGAGTTACGAGCTATCCTTCCCGTTTCATCGTCACCTTGTCCCCCGAGGTAGTAGTTGAGTATTTTGGACCCGGCTTTTAAAACTCAGGAGAAGGAAACTTACCAACGCGTGACCAAACAGCCATCCTTGAGTGCCTTCGAGGTACACCTTAGAAATTTGAACATATCTTACAAAATCCTGGAAGACTATACTACGCTAGTCCCCGACGTTTTTTACGGAGTATCATTATACTTGGAGCACTCGGAGGATGTCTCCCTGATTCAAAACTCTTCGCATGTGGAGGTATGTGCGGTCACTCGATTCATTTGACAAACAGTGTAGATCTCCGGGAGGCTGACCATGGTTGAACGGAGTTTTCAGAGACTGAATATCGTTAAAGATGTATTTCCGTTGCAAACTTTTAAAACTCGGATTCTGGACCAACCGCTGCTTGCAACACCAGAAACCTATCCCCCTCATGTCCAAACCAACATTACAGATCTTCATCGGCTGGGTATTCTTGGCCAAGGTATAAAGGTTGCCATCATCGATTCAGGGATTGACTGTGCCCATCCAGCCTTGGGAGGCGGCTTTGGCTACGGAAAGCGGATTTCATTTGGGATCGATTTGGTTGGGGATCGATTTAATGGGACAAACGATCCCGTCAGGGGTCATGATCCATGTACCAAATGCGGCGTAATTGATTCCAATCCGTGAATCGAATCCCTGACGCGTTACTGACTTGACGAGACGATCTGCCACTACAGCTGCATGGGACCCACGTGGCTGGAATCGTTGCCGCACAAGACGTCGGTTATGGCTTCACAGGAGCGGCCCCAAAAGCAGAAATTGGAATGTACCGTAAGTTTTCATGCCCTCTAATTTATTGCAAAGTGCTTGATCAGGTACGAAGATTTGCTGAAACTTCTCTCTTTGGATGGAGAGCAGGCAGTACGTCGACATCATTGCTCTTTTCATTCAATGTGACAGTGACAGGAATTCTGATTGAATTGCTTAGTTTTTGGTTGTGGCCAAGAAAGCCAAACGAGGGATGACATCATTCTTGCAGCTTTACTCATGGCGTATAAAGATGGAGGTGAGAAGTTGCAAAGTCTTCATACATTCCATTCGCGTAGCTTTAATCATCTAACATGCTTGATTTTGTGATTATTCAACAGCGGATGTTATCAATCTGTCTCTCGGTGGATCAGCGGGGTGGGGAGAGGGCGCTGTCTTGTATGATGTCATCAACACTCTTGTCCAGAAAAAAAATGCGGTGATCATAGCTTCTGCTGGCAATGAAGGAGCGGTAGGTCAATGCTCTCTCTTCGTTTTTTTGTCTTGAGGGAAGGAGTGGACCCTCAATCATTTGGTGCAACCACATAAAACTGGCAGGAAGGGATGTTCATGGCATCGAATCCTGCGTCGTCGAAAAACGCCATTTCCGTTGGTTCAGTCGATGCAACTTCATCTGTTGTTCACTACTTGCGAATGTCGACTGGTCAACTTATTCCTTATCGTTCAGCAATCCCTTTTCCAACGGGCAGCTTTCCGGTATATTTCACTTCAAACTCAACCCGCATTCAGGATGATGCTTGCAACCCGTTGCCTGAATCCACGCCAGATCTAAGCAAATATGTGGTGATAATTCGCAGGGGGTGAGATAAATGAACTCTTGTCTTGGAGATTCTCCGACCGCAAACACCGTCGCAAAAACCGAATACTGACTAAACATTAATCAGAACTTGTTACTTTGAGACCAAAGTTGAGCAAGCGCAGGCCAAGGGGGCAAAAGTCATCCTTTTCTATTGGGTTAGCTCCTGTTTCCGGAGGTTGACTCGAAGAACATTTCTGACTCATTGTACCATTGGATATCCAGAATTCTACAATACCCGTGGGTTTGCCCAACCAGCTTTCAAATTCAAGTGTGGCGGTCATTACGGCTGAGGATGGAAAACATCTACTCGAAGCATCACACAAAAATAACGGCATTAGATTGAACTTTACGCATTCTCCCTCTTTCTATGGTAAGGACTTTGCAAGCAATTCACCTCTTAAAACTCATACTTATCCATACCTATCGATTTTGCAGCTACCTCACCTAATGGAGGATTCATGAGCAACTTTTCTCAGTTGTTGAGTTTTTTTTTTTGGTTTCCAGAAAATTTAGTTCAATGAAATTGGTTCAAAATTTATTTTGGCTTCGAAACTCATGGCAGCGTAATTTTGACAGTGGCCCCAGCTACGATTTTCTGAGTCCACAGCCGGCTCTCTCGGGTGTGGGTGGTGATGTGGTCTGTGAGCAACTTCGAATTTCGGTTTATTCGGGCATCTTATTGACACATCTTTTCATAGCCACATACCCTCTTGATAAAGGTGGCTACGTAAGTACTTTCTAGAGAGAGAAAAAAACTTGTCATTTCTCCATACCGAGACGTTCGTGTTTTGGATGCGTTACCACAGGCAGCTTCTAGTGGAACTTCAATGGCGGCACCGCAGGTAAATATCATCATTTATGAATTCTAGGATTCAAACGCTACATCTCAGAATTGACTTCCCGGATTTCACTCAGATTGCCGGCGTCGCGGCACTCATCCTGAGTGCTAGGGGTAAAAATCTCAATGGCCTCTCGATACGGTCACGTTTAGCATCCACCGCTCGCGTAGTACGGACGGATTTTGGAAAGGGAGTGCTCGAAAGTGAGAAACTCTTATTTTGATTTTCCATCCACTCCATAGTATATTGCTAATTCACCGCACTTGTTATTTCGTACAGGCACAGTTCATCAAGGGGGAGGACTGGTGAATGCATTTTGTGCAGTGTTTTCTAACACATCCGTCTCGACGTCTTCTATTGCTTTAAATGATTCAACCAACATGAATCGCAGTCAAACCTTTACCTTAGTGAATGAAGGCACCCAGCCAGTCACGTACCGAGTTGAACACCTACCTGCCGGTTCAATCGCTGCCTTTTCTCCAAAATCACAACACGGCCGCATAGACTCGAAAATCCCAACTCCGTCCGCTAACTACGCAAGCGTTGACATTCAGCCCGACACCTTCACTGTGATGCCAGGACAGAAACAAGTCATAAGAACCAAGTTTACTCCACCAAGCGGTTTGAATCCGGAAGATCTACACGTGTATTCAGGTTACATTTCTCTGGTTAGCGTCTCAAAGCATTTAGGAAATAGGTGACATTAGTTTAAGCTTTTGAATTGGTTGACAATTTACAGGACAGTAATGTTCCATGCGAAACCCACACCGTCCCTTATTATGGAGTATTAGGATCAATGAAGGAACAAAAGAGTAAGTGAAAATAATTTATCTCATGTCTTGCACTCATGATATCTGGAATCCACCTTTCTGATTTTGATGTATCTCGCCTAGTAATTGACCGCGGTCCGAACGTGGATATTGACAAGAGCCGTGACTCGAGATATCATTTCCCTCACTTTATCTTTAGCGATAACAACAGAAGTTCTGCGGTAGAGAAACCGCTGATATGGGACCTCAAGAAACATAATCATACTACTTTCCTTTTCAGGTTCAATTGTAGGTCATGAGTCTAATTGTATAAGAGATCACGTCAAAGCTGACATGTTTTACCCAGTCGGATCACCATATATGAGGTTAGATCTCGCCCCTCATAATGCCGTGCTATCAAACTCTACCAATTGTACGAATTCAGCTTGGAAGTCAAAATTTCGAGGTATCGATTTGTTGGGTTTGATACCTACTAGTGATTCCGAATTGTTTTCTAGGTCCGGGTGAGAAAGAGTTACCATTTCTTCAGCTTGATCCTAAACATGGTCGCAACTTTTAACTAAAGATTCTCCAATTCAAACTGGCTCAGTATGCACGAGGTTCAAGAGCTAGACTGGAATGCCACCGTCCTTGAGAGCGAATATAGCAAACCCAAGCGAATACCCGGCGGCAAGTATAAAGTGTTGCTACGGTGAGTTCAGCATACTTTTTGTCTCACCTGAGTGAAGGACGTCTGACTGATAGAGGCTGCAAACTTGATTGCAATAAATTACCTATAGCGCCTTGAAAGTAACAGGCGACTTGGAAAATGAAGGCGACTTCGATAGGTGGCTATCGCCCTTGATCCACTTAACACATTAATCAACTAGAAAGAGCATATAGTATACCTCTTCTTTTCATCAGTTCCACATGTAAAAAGTGTGTACATCAGTAAATGAATCATTCCTCAACCTTGACATTGCGAAGTGGGTAGATCGTATGGGACAGCCTCACCCCGGGTGTAACTGCTGCATCAGGCATTTTTAGAGTGAACACTTCATGGGGGCGGACTTTTTTTTCTTCGCACCCAAGTGGGTGCAGCAGTGGAATAAGTTTCGCTCTATTCTTCCCCTCCCGGATTCCTGCATCGATGAGCCAAAACCTGCAGGGGATCTAGGACAGCTGGGGTAGTTCTGCCATACGGGAACGATGCTTAAGTATATAGGTGGCAGACGATACGGGTTAATGAGGAGTTTCCTGTCCGCCTCCGTGTTGCTGTATCGGCCCGAGATGACGACGAGGTGTTGTTGGCCCGATGGGAAGTGACCCTCGGGCCTCTGCACACACGACTGCACCGGTTCACTATGTATGATTTCCCAAGTTCCCGCTGGCGGAAGAGTCGAAGACTGAGGAAAGTTTGTCTAGAAGTGCAAACTACTCTGTACGCCTCCATAATACCAGAGCCTCGTAACTCGTTTTCATTTTTGAACAACGGTGACTCTAGGATGACATTATTCCGGGGCTTTCGTGGTACATACACATGTACCTGGAGCACGGTTGATAGCGACCTATAGCTACATAGTCACTCCATTGTCACTTCGCATCTCTATGGCCTACAGAGAATCCAGCCACGGTATAGAATTATCACGGCCATTGCTGTGGTTACATACAGGTGTACTCATTCCCTGATTTCGTACCACTTGGAGGAGAGGAAGAACAGATCCTTCCTTGAAACTTGGCACAATCCCTTACTTAAACAAAGATCATTTCGCATTCTCACAACGCGGGTTCGTCATACACGCATTTTTTAATCAAGACACTAATCGGCCTTTAAATTTTTCAATTTCCCTTGTAAACATCTCAAATGGTTTCACTTCACCAGCTCATTTCATTAATCGTAGTAATAGCTTTAGTATTTGTCAGTAATTCAACTCAGCGTGGTAAGAGTAGTAAAAGTCCTTCCAAACGGCTTCCAGAAACCACCCCTATCCGGTTTTTAGTCCAGCTGAATCGCAGCAATAAAGTTCAGTAAATTTCTCAAAATGACCCCCCATTATTATACCACAATCACTGATGACAAGATTCAACTATTACAGCATGCAGTCGCAGATCTTACCAACAAACTTAATCTTCTGGGAATCAAATTTCGAATTGTGCATGATCTCACCCCATTGCCAGACGTGTTCTACGCGGTATCACTCGAGTTGCTGGACAATACACAGGCCAAGCTTTTGCGCGGCGTGATCGGGGTCCAAGTCAATCAGCTTCCCTTCAATTGATCCAGGTGTGATCCAGACTGACTGATTATATTGAATTTTTAATACTACCTATATATCAGGATGTAAAGCAAGTAGGATTGGTAACTCGGGGTCCCACCTATTCAGGAAAAGTTCTTTCAAAACCTTTGACCACCACGGTGGAAAAGTTTCCACCACACCTTCAGACGAACGTCAGCATGCTTCATAAGCAAGGTATATATGGGAAAGGGATAAAGGTAGCTTTAATCGATTCTGGGGTAGATTGTACTCATCCGGCATTCGGTGGTGGCTTCGGGAAGGGGAAAAAGATTGCTTTTGGCATGAGCCTCGTCGAGAACGCCGACGCGCAATCTCAGCGAAATAAGGGAGCAATCTCAAATCCCTGTAGCGATGACTCTGTAAGCTGAGCTGTTGCTACTTGTCTGACTGAGTTTGACCAAATCTAAGAAACTGTTACGCACCTCTTTAAGCGACATGGAACACACACCGCTGGCATAATTGCCGCTGCAGACGTTGGATACGGCTTTCAAGGAGTTGCTCCTAATGTGACCATCGGAATGTACCGTGAGCATCACACCTCATTGAATGCGGTGTAAATGCGATACCCTAATGTGTTTTTTTATTTAATCTTTCTGACCCAGGCGGTGCGTCACCAATCGTTGTCGCCATACATCTGCTAATTCCCTATCCACTCAAGGTTTTTGCAATTTTTTTTTTGTGTTTTGTTATTATTATTTAGCTTTTCAGGGAAGACTTGGGAACACCGACGACGTGATAATCAAGGCGTTGCTACAAGCCCAAATCGATGGAGGTATGTAACTTCAAATCATTTTGAAGGTTTTATGTGGTTATTGAAGCCTGAAAGAGCTTTCTTTCTGTAGCGGACATCATCTCACTCTCCTTGGGTTCTCCAGGAGGCTGGTCCAGCGGAAAAGAGATACTAGAAGTTGTCAACAGTTTGGTGGAAGAAAAGGGGATGATAATAATCGTTTCTGCTGGCAATGAGGGGACGGTGAGCCTCTCAGTAGACTACTGTATCTGTTTCCCCATAATCTGATATCCCGGACGGGTAGAATGGTTTATTTTCCGCCGGCTCTCCAGCCTCTTCTCGGGCTGCCATATCCGTTGGCTCTGTCGATTCCAGCTCACCAATGGCCAGGTCATTCAACACATCTACACAGAAACAATTAACCTATTACAAAAACCAAGTTTTACCCGATGGAAGCTACCCTGTTTATTTTACTTCAAATGATCTCTTGAATGAGGATGATGCCTGCCCACCGCTACCTCCGAACACCCCGGACCTGAGCAAATATATTGTGCTGATCAAAATAGGGTGAGTATTTTTGCTCGTCCAAAGCTTGAAGACAAAATTTTGATTGGGACTTTATTAGGAGCTGTTTTATATCCGAAAAGGTTCACCACGCTCGAGCTAAAGGCGCAAAGCTCATATTTTTCTACATGGTCAGTTTTTTCCTAAAATTTAAATCAGTAAATCTTCTGATGCACATGAGGCCTGAGCTTGGCCATACATTCCATTTTATTGCATCCTCAGAAATCGAGAGTTATTGTTTCAATGCACAGTCGAGTAATGGGTGCCACCATCGCAGGAATTTCCTTGGAAGATGCACAGTTTATCGCGCAAGAAGCCAAAAAGGATCCTCAGGGATTCCGTTTGGTATTCAACACAGCGAACCTTCGTAGTAAGTTAAATACACCACCATTGCGTATCAATCTGACCGGTCAAACAAGCACACTTACTTTTCACGGACAAAAAAGCTTTTGTCCTGCAGCCGGGATTGGAAAGCCCGTTTTCACAATTGTCAGTGGAGAAGTAATTCTGAAAGAAATCTGGTAGAACCAGGAGTTAACCCTTGACTTCTAATTATATTTCCAGTGGCCCAAGCTTTGACTTTGTCAGCCCGCAACCTGCGATATCAGGAATAGGTGGTAATGTGGTTTGTAAGTCCTCGCCTTGATTTGAACCAAGTTTTCAACACTAAGATAGACGTTTCATATTGTGTTGCAGCCACCTTCCCAATGGTAGACGGAGCATTTGTGAGCTTTTTTTTAAAAAATCTAACTAGTGCATAGGAATATCAAAATCTAATAAGTTTTGGGCTTTCTTAGTCCTCTTTAAGTGGGACCTCGATGTCTGCTCCACAGGTACGAGTATTTGATCTTTTGGCTTGGATGTCCTGTTGAACTGAAATTCTGGAGAGTGGTATAGCTTGCAGGTATAGCTGCTCTCATACTGAGTCACAGGGGGAAAAAGGGCTTCACTGGTTATACCATGCGAGATCGCTTGACGACCTCCAGTCGCATAATAAACTATTCTTCTACAATTCATAAACCACATAGTACGTTTACCCTCAATCGTCCATAAAGTGCTTTTATATTGACGCGTGGCTTGTGTGAATAGCTGTTGTGCATCAGGGTGGCGGTCTTATAAATGCCTGGTGTGCCGTGATGGCGAATACGATAATTCCAAATGCTACTTTGGCCCTTTCTGATTCACTTTCCTTCAAGACGGATCAACAAATTAAGATCGTCAACTCAGGTAATAAGCCTGTTCGATATCGTCTCCAACATCTCCCGGCTGTATCTGTCAAGACGTTTGGAGCAAATCAGAAGTTCAATCGCCCCGATGTCACTCCTGATACCGAAGGACTAGTAGCGAATGCCGTGATGACGCCAGAGACATTTACATTGGCACCAGGCTCTGATCAGGTCGTCAAAATACGCTTCACGGCACCCAAAGCCAGTAGTGTTGATCTCACGGTTTACTCGGGATACATCATTCTTGTGAGCTTGATACCGAAGTTTCACCCTCAATCTGAATGCTCAACACACCCCTCTCTTGTTCCAATCACAGGACGGTGATGTGGAGTGTGAAAGCCACAATGTTCCCTACTACGGCGTTATAGGTTCACTTAAGGATCAAGAAAGTGAGTTTGCTTTAAACCGACTTATCATCCCAAAGAAATCGATCTGAAATACCCCTCATCTGTTCAGTCATAGATCGTGGCCCTGTGCCTGGATCGTCAACCGTGAGGTTCCCATACGTAGCTTTCAAATCCGATGAGCTCACATCCGAAGGCTTTCCAATCTACACTGCCCAGAAAACTAATTTCATTTGGAAACTAGCAGAGAAACAGTCCTTGTACCTGCTGTTTCGAACGGTCTGTAAGTGTCCAATTTCAGAACGTTGGATTCTGATAGCTGGAATTGACTCCACAGGTCTCGATTTCCTGTAGTTGGCTCGCCAACATTACGTATTGATGTGATTGCGGGTGATGCAAACCCAACACCCTCGAAAAGTACAAAGGGCTCTCACTTTGATAAATCTTTTGGTAACACCAAAATAATTGGGATGGTTCCTGGCACTGAATTTACATCCTTGGCCCGCTCTGGGTAAGCTAAATAAATCTGCTTTTTGGTCAGGTTTTTACATATAATTAAAATTGAAATTGCTGTCTTGCAATCAAACAGGCTCGGCGACTCCTACACTACCATTTGGGATGCAACAATTGTCACTGGTGGCATTGACCAGTCCCCAATTCCCCTACCAAATGGCAACTACAGGCTGCTGATAAGGTATGTCCATCAACGGCAGTTTCCAGCATACCGCAGCTGATCTGATTGAATATAAAAATAGGGCTTTGCATGTCAATGGTCGAAAAGACGTAGAGAGCGATGTCGACTTCTGGCTCTCGCCCCCGTTTACACTAGTCAGATGACAGCAATAATGTGCTCTTTTTTTGGATGCCCAACCAATAAATCAAATTTGGTAAAATTAAGGACACCACAAAATACTTTCTTCAGTCACTCATTAGAATCACGATGATCAATTTAGGACAGTGGCTTCTCTGGGTAACCCCTTCTAACTTTACTACTTTCCAACATCACAAACAAACAAAAAAACATTCTTTATCATCTTTTGAAATTTTGCATGCCTAGCTTTGTATATTGTTTCAGTTTGGGAATTTTAGTGTATGAGATAATTTTTAGTATATTCTCCAGGTGTAAAATTGTGAATAACATTTCAAATTGAGGGCCTGTACCATAACGCCCCAGCCAATTTTCATTTTTGATCTTTTTATCTTTCACCAACCAAAATTCATTTTGGGGCTGGCACTGAAAATCTGGCATCTGTCCTGTGGGGAATTGGGTGTGTACAGTACACCATTTATGGCAGGCTCAATTTTGAACTTGAAAATTGGAAATTGACCTCAAAATTGGGGCTGTGGTATAGGCCCTGATTAATTAAATAAATACTTATGGCTCACATTGGATCATGATCAGTCACCAACAAGGATAATACAGCCATTCCAAGAAAGCTCGCTGCTTGGGAGCCGGACCTTTTTATTTTTTATTTTTTAGAGGCTGATACAGCCCTGTATATTGGCTGGATATCTCCCAATTCTTCCTTTTCTTCTGTCAACAAAGAATTGGAAGTTACCCAGCCCATATAATGGGCTGTATCAGCCCCTAAAAAAGAAAGATAGCAAATAATAAAGTCCGGCTTGGGCACCAAACCAACTTTTCAGCCCTAATTTTGAAAACTTTGGGTTGTGGGTTAAATGCCCCCACAGAAGACTTTTTCCACTAAATTTTCTGCATGCATGCAAAGAATGGTACTTATTTAGTCTTTAGCAAAACCTAGTTTTTCAGAAAAAAACAATTTCCCCACGTATCCAAAACCCAGATTGCCCTGGATTTACATAAGTAGGCTTGGTAGGGTGTAGCTGGGGTCCTCCGCAACCTTTCTTGGAATGACTGTAATTGGGCCGGGTGTCCATGGGTGCGGACACACTTTTCTGGTACAGCAGTTCCCAGAAAGCTTGATGTCGCAAGCCCCTGTGAACCAGTTTTTTTTTGTGCCACACTTTTTCTTTTATTTTTTGTGCTGTATGTGGGCTCATACAGCCACAGTATTCTAGGCATTATGGCCCAACTCCCACATTTTTCAAGTTGAAGATTTGGGAGTTGGACCATCGGAATCCTGGCAGTTTTTTGAGTTGGATCCGGTCACCACATAGATGTCTCACCAGCCCTTGCCAGGCAGCAGCCAAGTGCCCGGGGCCCAATCAAGGCCTTAGCAGCAGATTTGCAACCTGTACAGTCATGTGTGCAAGTTCCAAGGCGCAAAAAATTATGGCAGAAATAAAAAAAAAATTGGGACCCCAGGAGCTTGTGAACGCAAGCTTTCTGGGAACTGCTGTACAGCCAATCCCAAAAACGTTGAGTTTTGGGGAGGGCTGTATTTCAGAAGTTTTTTTTTGCACCAGCAAATTTTAGCGCTTCACAACCTGTACAGATGACGGTACAGGTTCTGATTTGGCTGCCAAGGCCTCAGTGTGGGTCCAGATCCCTGCCAGCTGCCAGGCAGGGGCAGACTAAGGCCTGACCCATCAATGTTGCTTAACAGTGCAGGCAGTCACAGGTTGTCCAGCGGGGGCCCAAGGGTCTGACAAACTGATCTGACAGCTCTGGATGGAAACCTGCAGATACTGCAGATATGCTTGAATGCCCTGGATGACCTAGATGGCTGACCTTGTTACAGTTTGCGGAGTTATTCATGAGATTGAGATCAAGAAAATCTCCCTAGTCTTGTTTTTTTCCTTTGGCCCATGAGTGCTGCCCTTGTCCATCCTATTGCAGACACAATAGTCGGGGGAGTTTTGACCCAGCTTGGCATGTCCGGAATTGAAGCAGGTTGGATGGAGCTAGCCCTTATCATCTCTCAGTCACCAAGGTTGGAAACAATGTTTGATGTGTTGGGGTTGTGTTGAATGCACTCAAACACTTCCTCTCTTCCAGTTTGGCAGCTTTTTTCCTTTGTCCAAACATACAAAGTGATATAAAAAGGTCACTTGGAATTTGGAAATCAAGTCCTTCATCTCCAAGAGCAGAAAGAACCCCCATCATAAAGAAGGTCACTGTTTTTTTTCAGTCTTGAAAAGCTCACCATCTTTTATATACATCTGCATGACTTTCTAGAAACCAGACCTCCAGTAATCTCATTTGATACCTCCCATTCATTCACCTCAGAATTCAATTCAAATCTTAGTAATAAACAAGCCTGTTATTCAGCTTAAAAAAAAAAGAAAAACAAATTAAGTTTATTAAAACAAAAAAAAACAAATTGAAACAGTTGAAGCCTTCAAGAGAAAAAAAGTCAGGAAATCTAGAGTTATTGTTCAACTGATTGCAGATATCTAGTAGTTTGATGTATGAAGGGTAAGATACCAATATACCGTTCTAGTGTGGTTATTTTTTTTTTTTTGGATATCAAATCAGACACTGTTGAGGTATCAACTTCGAAACACTTGTAAACAGGACACTCTACTCAGCCCATTGAGCGGTGTCAGTTTATCTATTTTACATCACAAAAGAAAAAAAGAAGGTTTTTATGGCTGGAAAAATATGAATATATTCAAGATCTCTGAGAGAGCGTAGTCAAACCAGAATATTTGAGGTAGTTGATTTATCAATAGATGGTGATCCTAGGCCGTACCGAACAGGACGGAAGACATCCTTCGACCATCGATTTCGGATGCTCGATGAATGTCGACCCGACGTGCCGGCTCGATGGCCTTGTTGATCGGCTTGAGGGAGAGCTTTTTGGAGCTGATGAGTTTGAACCGAGTTCTAACAGCTACATATAACATAGATCGAAGTCGACCATCAAGAAAAAAATCTACTGTGTCAGGGTCGAGCTTCTTGATCATCAATGTAAAATTTCGGTGAGGGCTTACTATTCATGTAGTCTATCCGATTCGCATTCGAGGGTAGTTTTGGTTGGTCTACTTGATGGACTTGTTTAGAATGGTTGAATCGCCGAAGTGCATTGATGCCCGGGCGGACAGTGACTGTGATGAAGAAGCGTTGGATCTCCGATTAATCCTCCCCTGATCATCAGAACCACGAAGAACCAATAATTCCTCACATAGTTTCTTCTTTTTGTCGGCGAAGTGTCCCCATGTCCCATTGCTATTAGGCTCAGATGCACACGAGCTGTTGGGATAGAAGCCCGCTGATTTCTTCCGGTTTGCACTGTCTTGACTCGTATGGGATCCAGCACCTTGATGATGAGTGCATCCAACACCAAGCAGATAAAATAAAATGGGTGAGAAGGATTGAACTCGTGCGTCCATGATGAATGCGATAGGTCCAATCGAAAAAGGATTAAAGGAGTATTGGACTGACCTTTGGTGATTAAAGAAAACAGTCGGTTAACTTTCTCTAGGATTTTTTCAGGGGTTTTTTTTTTGGTATCGATGGGAATTAGAATTCAGTCAGCGTTCTTTTCCTGAACGGTAACCCTTGGAGAAAGACCTGCAAGGGCGGACCAACCATTTTCATGATGATTCATTTCGGGTGCATAGGTAGTACTGGATCCTACAAGGTAATAGGAGGATGAAGTTCGAAGAAGAGTTGATTAGCTTGTCCCGCACAAGCAAGCAAGTACATAGCCCCAAGGCAGAGCTACTAACTTCTAGCGCTGGACGTCGACTTGTGATCGCCAGTAGCTATTTCCGCAACACCTTTGATGGAAGTTCCATCAGAGCTCGACGGTACAAATTTATCAAACGAAGTGGACTTTCAGAGAAATTCCTCACTTGCTTGATGGACGAACGCCGGAGGTTTGATGGATATCCTATGACTATGCCCATGCTCGAAGGAGTCTAGAAGAGACTGTCGGTGAGCCTTGGAAGCGAAAGAGTATCAAATTGAAAAAATGGAACCTACTTCGTAAGCAAAAAGACGACTCCTCAAGCACGTCCGAAAAGTTGTCTTCACCAAACTCGTCTTCTAAATCAACCAGATCTCACACGGACATGAGGAAAAGCAAGAATAAGATGGATGAAACAAATGGCGAGACTACTATAAGTCACGGTTGTCAGAAGTTAACCAGACAACAGACCATCTTCTGGGTAGTAGCAATTGTCCCTTGGATTTGACACGTCGCGACCAAAGATGGAAGGCTCAGTTCTCGGTGGGCAGAAGGCATTGGTCAAGCGAAGAAGATGAAGCGCGTCGTTAGAAGTTGCAGAGACATCGGATTTCATTTCCTCTTCCTCTTCCTCTTCTTCCTCTTCCTTCTCATCGTCGTGAGCCTGATCTTCAGAACGTCTTCGGAAACCCAGGCAATTCAGAAGGAAGTGACCGATGAGCGAGTACAGTAAGACTACCCCACAACTGAGAGCTATCTGGAGCAGGATTGACACGTCCATGGTGTTTATAGTAGCTCACAAACCGGATTGGATGAGACAGAGAGAGAGAGAGAGGTGGGATGAAAGGGTAGGAGGATGCCTGTGATTGGTGCGTGGGTGTTGCAAGGGAGAGAAAACCAAGAGGGGAATAAAGCTAGATTGTAGGCCTAGCGAGCAGCTGGAGGATATGTGACACAATTAATAAAATTTGCGATCGATGGATATTTATGTCGACTAGTTCCGTCAGACTGGGGAAAAACAAAGACTCGTGACCTTTCAAGACCCACTCGGATTTTATTGCTCCCGTCTTGGCTGAGAGCAAATCAGAGTATGGAGTGATGTGGTGATGATAAGGGTGTGCCCTCTGCTTCTCGGTAGGCAAAGAAAATACGCAGGCCAGAAAACTTCATCAGAGGTAGACGGTCGACGCTCGCTTGCCAGTGTGGGCTGTGGATTCAATGATGCAGCACCTGTACCCCCCCGCTTTGCTCGGTTCAAGGGACGCTTTTTGAGATGATGAACATGAGCAAGTGCTTGTGTGAGGTATATATATTCTCTGATGGATCGAAGAGATAAACTCCTCGATGGAAGGAAAGACTGACAGAGATAAAGAGGAAAAGTTAACCGGCCTCACCCTGTGCAACCCACAAGAATATCCCGAAGCTAATCAGGAAACTCTGCGTTCCCCTTCACCCAAACGAGAACTCTGACAGTGAGGATCCAGTCTTATTTCAACACTGTTTTGCTTATGGAGGATACTACAGGATGGATGGTTGTGTTGTGTTGTATTCTCCACGCAATTTTCGCCCTACAAGCGTCCTCTTTGTACATAGAGCTTTTGCAAGTGTTGTAAAATCCAATCCACCATCTCCATGCAGTCTCAACTTGACTGAAATGATCCTTAAGCTCGGCTGATAATCTTCCTTCGTGATGAGTGCTAGTAATTCTCCAGAAAGCTTCGTCCGCGCGCTATTCAGTGTGCAAATTTTCCCTTGGCCGGTATCTATCTATACCTTTATCCTACTCTGGCACTTTGGCAACCTAGAATATTCCCAACCATACGCTTCAACGTGACGGTTATCTTTGGTCGAAGAATATATATGTACAATAAGCTACAACCTTGATCTTCACGACTACCAACAGTTTATCCAAGTCAATAGATACGAGCGCCTGCAGTTAGGACCTACGTCCTCCCTGTATCTAGCTTATCAAAGCCTCTCGAACGGGCGCTCCCGCGGGACTTGTGATAAGTTAGAGTTGTATGTATTACCTTCATAACTTGCAAGTTATAGCCTCCATCAGATGTAGTTGTAATTGAGAAACTATGGGAAGAAATGCCCCCAAGGTTTTCTAAGAGACTAACTGAACATAAAAACCATTGTCATTTGTATTATGACCTTCTTTTGGACATAGTACTTTGGAGAGAGAAGTCATGCACAAGGTGCGTCCGAGCTAGCTATTTACTATTTTTCTATTCTGTTACCTGTGTATGCGCGTATGAAAGGAAGCAGAGTTTATTTTGGATTTCAAGATGAAAACAAGGGTGCCAACCTTCAAGCAGTGAGTTCCCGATGGGCGACAGAGGGACCCTGAAAAGATAGCACGCTCTTTCTTTGGAGGGCCTCGGAGGCGAAAGCAGGTCGAATGTAACGGTCCTGTCACTGAGGAAGGGCTGATTCGCGACCGGGACTGAAATGAGTGACCCGTGAATCGGCAGTCAGCAACCGGAATTATAGGTCAGGTCGAACTTGCCAAGAAAGCTCCGAATCGATGGAAAGATACCCGCGGGTTATAAGTATGAAAAGCCAACGATTCGAGGAATCAGTACTCTATACTCCATCTGCTGCGGTTGTAATCTATCCGAAATTGCAACATTCAACTCCTTCACACGGCGCTGGCTTTGGGCCGAACTTGTCCAAGGCTCTCCGAGGAGCAAAAGCGCCTGCTGCCGAGCGAACGCGGTTGGGCATGATGGCCCGCAAGTCTAACCTCCAAAGTGTAATAAAGGATAAAAGCCGGGACAGACGCATCCAGTAGGAAACAGTCCTGCATGTTGATGCGGTCAGGATAAGAGCATCCGAGATGCATGGCCTTTGCCTGACTCAAGAGCGATGAGTCTGAAGCCGAGATGGCATATATGTAGCCGATAAATTGTAGGCCTAGCGCATACAAGCTCTCCACCACACAGAATTGGACGGCAAATGCTTTTGCCATCAATTCAGGAAGGGTGTCATGTATTGGCCAACAGTAGATTTGTTTTTTTTGGTACGGGTCTTTCCTGCTCCTGCGCTTCGAGGAGCTGAATTGGAGGAGAATTTGCGCGTAGCTGGATGATCAGTTGCGTTGATCCGGATCGTGCTCTTGCCTTCCGGCCGGGGGCCGCCGGACCATAACGGCTTGCTTCTTTGGACTCTTTCAACACCCGCCGGCAGGTGACCTACATATCGAGCCGACACAGCCGGGGGGCGCCCGACGAGGTCTGTAAAACTTTGAGCCCCATTTTGGTGTCGATCCGCAGCTGCTACGCATCAGAACCACAACTGCACCCAATTTATGAATCTACTGCGTGTGCACAAAAACCCGATCAGTCCTCTGTGATCTTCATCCCCCAAAAGTCACAGCAACTTGCAGGCAACCATGTATCCTTCCCACTCAAGCGGCCGTTTTTACCCCACCCCTTTCCCGCTCGGAACCGGTCCATGAACAGTGAATGGTGAGTAACTTCGAAAGCTTCAATCTTGTTCCCCTTTCACGCTGTCTATCGAAAATCCATTCGCAAAAAATGATTACACTCATTATTGTAACTCGAGGGAATGAGATGAAATCGGTCGGTGCTCAACCTTGGGGCCTTCTGAAATCATCTGTCTCGCAGAAAGTTTTACCATTTTAACACTGAAAATTATGATTCATTGCCAACACCACCTTCGTCCCTCTCTCTATTTTTTGATCCTCCTTCAATCTTTTTCTGCACTACATAGGCTGACATATTCCTCTCTCCCTTATAGCCATCAAGACTCCCCACCGATTCGGCTGGCCGTTCATGTGTATATATATGGAGCAGGCTTGCTAATCAAGTGTAATAGCAAACATAAAATATCATATTTGTTTCTTTCTTTTCTCACCCTCTGTAACTATCGACAACAGTCCACAAAATACATCCTTGTTGAACGCATCCCGCTTTGCCCTTTGACTTTTTGGCTTCCGCATCAGAAACACAGGCAACCTTATGCTTATATGTAAATGTGTAAAAAGATCTCTGGGGCCTTCATCCATGCCCTTTCAGCCGAAGAGCCTCGGTAGGCCACGGAGCTCAGCTGCCCGGACACATAGCTTGAAGCAATTTCAGTATACATACACAAGTCGGACTATTTGGGTGCGTCTCATTTGATGAATATTCAATGAGGCGCGATCCCTAAACACTGGCGGACAGATAAACACTTTTCTGAGTAGTGTTAGTTTGCCACATCTGGCAACCCCACCCTGTGTGGAGGAATAAGGCACTTGTTGCATTATGCCAACCGTCGAAGGGCTCCTGACAAGCTTGTGTCCTTGGATCATTGTGGAGGCCTATCAAGCATTAGAGCAACTCCACCGCGGGCCCTAGTTTCGGGCCGTTAAAATTTGATCGTTGGGACTGCGCCGCCAACTTTACAGCCTTGAGAGCAACTCCACGGGGGTCGCTAAATCGGGTCGCTATCCCACGTTTAGGGACCCGGACCCCAAAGTACCCTCCCACCGCAGTCCGTATCTGCGTCCCTATTTTGCAGATTTGATCCTTGGGCTGTATCCAATCCCCAAATATGAGGATTGGATACGGACATCAGTTCTGAATCTTTCACACAAAATTCCTGTGTTCCTCCTGTGAAAAGTTCAACCATCCACCACTCCACCTCCCCCGATACCCCCTATTTTCTTTAACAGATCATCCCAAAAACCAACCACCATGGAGCCCATTCTTGATCCCAACCTGTTATCCTCATCAGAAATCACTGAAATCCAATCGAGCAATCCAAATCAAGCGAGCAATCCGAACCAAGCGAGTAATCCGAATCAAGCGAGCAATCCAAGTCAAGTGAGCAATCCGAATCCCCCCAAAAGCTCTGGAAAACCAAAAGGCAAGAAAACCAGCGAGACCACCAAGAAAACCACCGATACCACCGATGGAGAAGATTTGACATCCAAAGGTCGCTCCCGTAGCTACGTTGAATCGGAAGACCTTCAGCTCTGCAAATCTTGGGTCGAGGTCAGCGAGGATCCAAAGAAAGGCACTGACCAGACTTTCAACGCTTTCTGGCAGACGGTCGCTCTACACTTTGCGACTCAGTTGCCCAACTCTGGCCGAACAGCCAAAAGCCTGAAAAGTCGTTGGAGCGATCGGATCCAGAGGGAGGTGAACAAGTTTGCAGGATGTGTGAATCAAATTCAAAACATGAATCCGAGCGGTACAAACTCCAGCAACCAATTTACGATGGCGATGTCGTTGTATTCCAAGCTCTACGATAAACCGTTCACCTTCCTCGGATGTTATGAAATACTTTGCTCTTCCCCCAAATGGAATGACTACTGCCGCGACATGAAGAAGAAAGAGCAGCCAAATCCTTCAAACAAGCAAAAGGAACCCGACAGTGGTCCTCCTCCTGCCAGCTCATCAACTCAATCGTCAAGTCAAGTTCCTAGCACGGATACTTTGGTCAACTCATCAGGAGATGAGACTAGCGTTCCCCCGACCCGCCCAATCGGCCGCAAACGGGCAAAAGAAGACCTATCTGCCGCAATCACTTCCAAAAAAAACCAAGAGAGCCTGAATAAGATGGCCCAGGCTCACTGCGATATTGCCGAAGCGGCAAAGAAACAAGTCGCCTTTCTGGATTCTCAACAAGCGGCTATGAATCGGTTGGCCGACGAATCAATTATGTGCAAGGACCTTTCCGCAGCGGTGGGCCGCTACGCTACACTACGCTACAGGCCCATGTAGCGTTAGCGTAGCGGCGCCATTTTTCTTTTTTTTTCGTGTAGTGTTAGCGCGCCGCTACTGCCGCTGCGCTATGCTAACTTGTAGCGGCGCTAACACTAGCCAAATTTTGGTGTAGTGTTAGCGCACCGCTGGCGCCGCTACGCTGCGTTACGCTACGCTACAGCGTTTTTAGCGGCAAAAAACGCCTAAAAACCGCTAAAAATGGCTGTAGCGCAGCGTAGCGGGCGGTTTTTTGCGCCCTGTGCGCGTAGCGTTAGCGCACATGGGGGGAATCGCGCTAACGCTACGCTAAACGTTAGCGCAAATTTTTCCCCCCTCCGCGTAGCGTTAGCGCAGAAATTGAAAAACGCGCTAACGCTACGCTACATTGTAGCGATTTTTCGCTACACTACGCTACGCTAACGCTACGGTTAGCGTAGCTGGCCCACCGTTGCTTTCCGGCATGAGCGAGGCGATGAAGAAATTCTATGAGTTCGAGCAGGCGAAGATTCTTGCGAGGATGGAAAAGGAGTCGGCTTCATCTAACACTTTGAACACCCCATCTTCAACTAACACCTCCAATAACACCTCATCTTCAGGCTGAATTTTATTTATTTCTTCACGTGTCGTAGTCGGTTGTTGATATCTCTCATTTCCATCTATCTGGCTTTTTCATTTCTCTTGCATTTCCTATGTCGATTGTTTCATAATTCACTCATTGTGTTAGAGACAACCCTATCTAAAATCGACTGAGTCAAAGCAATCAAAAAAAAAGCCAGATGGCCGTTGACAGTTCATTTTAAAATGCATCGATCACAAACTCGTTTCATAATTCACTCAGTTTGTTAGAGACAAGCCAATAGTAAATTGACTGAGTGAAAAGCAATGAAAATTTAGAAAAAAAAGGCCAGATGGCCGTTGACTCAGAGAAGAAGCACCAGTTTATTTGACAATGGATAAATTGATAAGATCGATGAGGGGCTAGTTAATCTGAACATATAAGAAAATACAAATCAATCGGACGCTTGGTCTTCATCGTCGCTAGAATCACCAAATGGTGGTAGGGGCTCGTCCTCCTCGCTTATCTCCTCATCCAACTGCCCCTTCCTTGCCCATAAATGGGCAATGAGGTCATCCCTCAGAGCAAAGTGATTCGTCGGGTCTCTCATATGTCGATAATTTTGAATAAAAACAGATAAATCTTCGGATCGCAAAGCGTTTGGCCGACTAGTCTCCGAGCGAGATGTTCGATCGTAAATGAAGTCGTGAGGCGTCCCTCGCTCATCCTCCACAATCAAATTATGGAGGATGACACATGCCTTCATGACCTTTTGAAGTTTTTCGTGAGTCCAAGCCAGCGCAGGCCGTGCTACAATAGCGAACCGTGCTTGAAGCACACCAAACCCTCGTTCAACATCTTTTCGAGCCGATTCCTGCATTTTTGCAAAGTACTATAAGATTTAAAACAGATTAGCATTGGCAAACAAACAAAAAACAACTCAAAAAAAACTATCCTAACCTTCCGCTGAAGCCCCTGTGGCTGCGATATTGTTTTGATTAGAGTGGACCAATCAGGATAGATCCCATCGGCGAGGTAGTATCCTTGATTGTAGGTATGTCCATTGATTGAGTAAGTACAGGAGGGAGCTTCTCCATTCAGGAGTTCTTGAAACAAAGGCGAGGCGTCAAGAACATTCTTGTCATTGTGAGATCCTGGCATGCCAAAACCACAGATCTTGGGAGACAACGGCCTCCAGAACAATGGTAGGCACCTGAAAGAATGAAAGAATTGTCAATAATGAGTGCAAAACCGATCACCATTCAACATGATTAACTCACTTTTTCTTTTCCCTGGAATTGCCCTGCCCATGCGGTTGGGCAGTTCTTCCACTCCCAATGCATACAATCCAAGGAGCCAAGCATCCCTGGAAAGCCTCGTGATTTCCCAATCTTTAATAAGCGCTGAACGTCAGAATCGTTAGGTGATCTAAGATATTCACCGCCATACACATCAATGATAGCTTGGGTGAAATGTTCAAGACTTTTGTGCGAGGTTGATTCTCCTATACGTAGATACTCGTCATTTGTGTCGCCCGCGCCTCCATAAGCTAGAATTCGCATTGCCGATGTAATCTTCTGGATGGGATACAAACCCAGTTTCCCTACAGCATCTCGTTTCCGAACAAAATAACTATCGTATTCGGTAACGTCATGAACTATCTTCATAAAAAGAGTTCGGTGCATGCGAAATCGGCGCCAAAAGAGGTAGTCGTTGTAGAGCGGTGTTTCTGAAAAATAATCCTGATATAATCGTGCGTATCCAGCTTCAAAATCACGTCGGATATTCGCTGAGCGGCCTTTTCTTGATCCACCGTGCTTCTTTGGACAAGCCGCCTCTTCTTCTTCTTGTTGCAGTTGTTCTTGAATAATTGCCGTGCCACCTTGAAGAGTTGCAAGTTGATATTGAGTCGAAGACGCGATAACGGCGGACTGCGTGGTAAGCATGTTCTGAAGAATTGTGAGTCGATCCATGATTGGGATGGGGTTCTTTGACGAAATAGCTGAAGAATATGCTCGGGGGAGGGCAGTCAACCACCGGGAGCAGATAGAGACCCTACACAAGGGACCAGCGGTGTGTGCCGCAGCAACTTGGGTCTGTAAAGCTGGTAGTGCGGTCCCCAAACACAAAATTTGGGGACCGTAATTTACCGACCCCCGTGGAGTTGCTCTGAAGTGCTGTGGCATGCACCGCGAGAGTCTTCAAAAATCTGTGAAAGGGTGGTGTGAAGTTGGAAGCGATTCGGATTGAGGTGGAGGAGTAGAGTTTCACAAGCTGGTTGTTGTGTGAAAGGGGATTGAGCGGTCGATAGAGGAGTCGCTAGGAGTCCCTACATGTAGGGACTCGGGCTCGAAATTTAGGGACGGCCGTAGATTTGGGACACAAATAGCGGCCGCGGTGGCTCATGTTGAGTCTGTAAATTCCAACTAGCGACCCGATTTACCGCCCGCGGTGGAGTTGCTCTTAGGGCATTTTCTTGAGGGTATCCACATACTTCCAAAGAAAAGTCCAAGACCACCGTCATTTCACTTGAATCCAGATAATTTACAAATCTATGATTCATGCTTGAGCAACCAAAGAGCCAATTGTAGCTTATGTGGGTTGAAAGATCTGAATCTCCATAGCAATATGTACACAAATAAGTAAAGAGTCTTGAACCAAATAATGTGAAAGGGATCAAAGAGCAAATCATTCTGAAGGGAGTCAATTACAAAGCTCCTCCATTTAAGCATTGTAACATTTGTTTCTATTACAAATTCAACCACCCAGCATTTGTAGGAAATATGAGGTCTTACTTTACTTTCTAGAAACTTTCAATGAATGCTAATAGTAATAACAACAACTAAACAGAGTTAAAGAAAATATAAGAGATCATTAGTAATCAAAAGAGAGCAGAAATAAGAAGGGACAAAAATAGCAACTAAATGAAAGAGTGAAATTAGCTGATATTCACCTTCTTATAGTTGGATCCTTGTAAATTTGGAGAAATAGACAGAACACAAAAAACAAGCCTGAAACAGAAAAAAGAAGTTGAGATAGAAATGGAGAGAGCAACTTTAAGATCAGGATCCAGGTCAAAGTTATTAGCAGGGTTCACCATGGTGTTTTTTGCTTCTGGCACCCGTTATTTTTTTTTCTTGCTTGCTCATTGCAGACATCAATTTTGTCAGCAAGAATGTTATGCTCTGCGTTAAATTTTAAGCCTGAAGCAGTGCTGTGGTTTCTCACATGCAAAGAAATTGCTTCTTGCAAGAAGCTATCGTGAACCCCCCTATTGAGAAGAGGGGAAGAAAATTTTCTACCTCCACCTGTTATGCATCCTAGCTCTTCCTGAGTATTGTTAGTCTGAGTGAATAGATGGTTCAGATCAAACGTGCAGTTTAGGTGTAGTCAAAAGTGGATTAAGGCATGTTTGCCAAAAAGGTGAGTGATGAGTGAGATCTTTGTCTTGAGGTTGAGGGAAGGAAACAATCAGATCACTTTCTGAGCCAACTGAAGGGAGGAACTTGCTTCAACTTGAAATCGTGTGAGACTTGAGTGAACCATTGGAAATTCAAGAACTTTGGCAGGATCAGGCAGAATTACATACTCAGTCAACAACATTCTCAGATGTTTTTTGATGGGTTGTACAAATCCTTTGGGACTTCTGCTGTAATCTTCAAAGTTTTTGTGGGGGGTTGTCTGATGGATTGTATCCTTACCAAGCTAGTATGGCTTGTCTGTACCATCTTGAAGATTAGAATCAGCGCTCAAAAGTATAGTAAATACCATACCTGATTTGCATCCATTCATCCTTCTTGGAAATCTAGTCAAGGCCATACCAGCTTGCCAAGGATATGTCTTCTCTTATAAGCTGATACATCCTATTGTCCAGCTTGACAAGGATGTGAAATCTTCATAAAGCTAGTAAGTTATCTACCAGCTTTGCAATCTTTTTCAACCTGTCACAAAAAAATCCAGCCTCTCAAAGACGTATCATCCTTGGTGAGCAGAGAGAGTCCATACCAGCTTGCTGAAGGATTTTGGTTCACAGTTTGGTAATCACCCTTGCTCTTTTATCTGTGTGCTCAAAATTGCACCAGAAACCGAACTGACACAGACTCAAATTAGGTGCTTGATACATCAGTGGATTTCTAGTGTACATGTACTCCCTCCTGATCAGGTAAGTTTGACTTAGCAGGTTTTTTTTAAAAAAAAAATCATCCCAAATAGATACAACAAGACTTTCTCCTCCAATGTAGATGCATAAAAGAAGACTTAAAACTTCCAATCCAACTGGAAAAAAGAGTCAAGCTAGCTTTGAACGGCTCTGCACCCCATTCAAACAAAAAAGTTCAGTGAGCTTGTGTGGGTGGGGTGAGAAGGACCATCTGATTGCACTTTGGTGTATCCCTTACCGGCCGCTTACAAACATATATATATTTTATTGTGAATTATCAGGGGATCGGTCGCCTTCCCACGACGGAAACGGACAAACATGTTCCATTGAGGAACGGAAAACAGAAGGTTGGGACGAGATGTTGGCCAGGCTTTCTGATCATGAGTAGAGAAATGTCTGCTGGGACAGTTTTATACTGTGAGAGCAGAGGTTTGGAAAGTCTGACCGCACCACGTCCACAAAGCATGATGGAAGTATAGCACTTGTCTCGATTGGATCACCAATTGTTCAGCTTGGTTGGGCATCACGATGAGGACTATTGCTTGAGCTTCCAATCAGCACGATGGAAGCTTGGAGCTCTCTGACTCCCCGGGTTCGACATGGCATTGGAGTGAGTGGACTGAGGAAGCTTGCCCTGATTCATCATGGACCACCACTTCTTCTTTCTCAGCCATTCGGAGACTTTGACATGACCATCCAGAGATCACCATGCTAACTTCCATTCGCTCTGGTTTCGATTGGGGTTTTTTCAGATGGAACCGTCGTATCCCCTTGGTGATTCCATCTGAGACGCACAACGACATCGATAACATTGATTTCATCGTGTTGGGTGCAAGCTATTTAGAGGCAATACTTAATGGAGCTGGATAGATCCAACCCACTCCAGCTTTGTTATCACCGTCCACAGTGCCAGTGGCGATTCCAATCTTTGCTACTGTTCCAGGCCAGCAGACACTCGCTCCCCACCTCCAATTCCTACCTTGCAATCCTAGCCAAACGCGGTCTCGTCGAAGATGCAATCCAGCTTAATTCTCAGAGTCCTCCTTGTTTGCAATGGTACATATAAGTCCACTGGATTTGAGGTGACTCTGAGAGACCGAAGCTGATTGTTTTTCTTTTTCTTCTTCTTCTTCTTGCTTCGCTTTCCTAGGAATCATTGCCGCCCCGATTTCCAGTCTGGCCGACTTGACCAACCTCGAATCGCTCCTGAAACAAGACTCCAATGTGCCCACCCATCTGCTCAACTATGCACCAGCCCCACAGGACTATAACTCCGAAGCTCGCCAACACCCATCTCATGCCCCAAATCCTTCCTTCGCTCCGCACCCCGTCCCTCAACATCCTTCCGGGATATCCCAGTCTTCCATCGTTAATACTTCTGAGCCGATCCCATCTAGCCCAAGTAAGTCGATTTTCAATTCGAAATATCAGAATCCATTTTTTTTTAAGAATACATTCCTCTCTGATATCCAGCCTCCGACGATGTCAACCCCGAATCAGGAAGCGCTGGGAGCGGCGGTGGAGTGCCTTCTTTTTTCGCCTCAAGCGTGGCTGGCCTGGTTGGAGGCACTACGGCCTTCGGCACAGGCTTGGGTTCCAACGTCCTTTCTGGAGGCCATGTGGGCAACCCCATAGTCGACGGGGCCGGCACAATTGCAAACGCCGGTGTCGGCGTTGCTGGCCTGGCCGCGGGGATCCCTAAACCCACTATCTCTTGAACACCTCTTCTCAAGCTTGGCCCTCTCATCAATACCATATAGAAGCTGGAGTTTTCTTTTTTTTTTGATCCCTATGTTGATCTTTCCTTTGTCGGTTCTAAACTCCCAAGTATTTCTTTACTGCACACATCTAACTATCACTCTTTCAAGTCTTGCAATGTCCAAAGAACACATTGCTGTGCCAGATCATTTCGCGCTATATTACAAGCTTCCCATGAGAATGACTCGCTCTAGTGGCAGCTTGTGGCCTGTGTGGCCAAGTCCATTGGACGGGCGGCCACTGGGGCCCGCCCTTTTCTCAGAGAGGACATCGCCTCTCGCGTGGGCACGCCGAGTCTCCTTTGAGATCTTTTGCTCAAGAGGTTGAGGTAGCTCAAGAGTACCATGAGTGATTTTCCGTTCGAGATAAAAGGCTCAGTCGAGCCAGGCTTCCAGCTGCAGTGCAATCAGAGAAATACAAAAAAGGCGGGGTGCCAGCGTGCGACTGCTGATCGATTCTTGGGATCGTTGCAACACACAAGACGAATATTTGCGAGCTTAACTAATCCTCTCGTGACGAGAGTCGTTTGCGGGCAGGTCTGGGCGGCAGCCCAGTCTCGTCAGAGAGGCTTACAACGTATTACTCAAAGCCCGCATGAGGCAGGCATGATTTTGAGGTCCTTTTTTGTGTTTTCCCCTCTGTTTTTGATGTTATTGCTCTCAAAATTTCATTGTGCTTTTTTTCTTGTTCTATGACATCTCCTTGATCTATCTGTATTTTTTCATATTTTTATTTCCATACCAATCTTTTTTAAAAGAACAAACAGAAAAAAGACAAATTCTCATTTTGCAGGCATAAAATATGCTTATACTGAGAGTGCGCTCGAGCCTCTCTGCCAAATTTCCAAATCAAAGTTCAAAATCATGAACTTCACTGCATGTTTTCTACCAGAACCAGACTGGTTTTTGCAATGAAAAAAATATCTAAAAATCTGGATTATGTAGATCTTTCATCCACATGAATTAAAAATAAATTTGAGTTGTAATGAATGAGTGGTGGGGCAAACAAGGTCGCCACCACCAAAACGGTGCTTCTGGGTCACACCGCAAATGCGTTTTAAGTTTCAAGTCCCTCCCTGCGGGAGGGGGCGCTTCGCGCCCAGCCAGTCACACCAGCGAGCCTCCCACCAGGGGGACTTGTGTTAAGTTCGGAATATTTGGCTCCCGTGCTTTCTCAACGCGGTGAAGGGCTCGTCCCATCCTCGGTTTTCCCTCGCTGGAGCCTGAGGGACATCCGTGTGGTTGACTTGCTTGCTCGATTTATCTGAGCCGCAAACGTCACCGATAATGAGTGAAATATAACCACGGCGCGCGGGGGGGAGCAGTAAAAATGGGGCGTTCTGGGTATAGGTGGACTCGCGAAAACACAGGGGGGGGTGCGAACTTAACACAAGTGCCCCTGGTGGGAGGCTCGCTGGTGTGACTGGCTGGGCGCGAAGCGCCCCCTCCCGCAGGGAGGGACTTGAAACTTAAAACGCATTTGCGGTGTGACCCAGAAGCACCGTTTTGGTGGTGGCGACCTTGTTTGCCCCACCACTCATTCATTACAACTCAAATTTATTTTTAATTCATGTGGATGAAAGATCTACATAATCCAGATTTTTAGATATTTTTTTCATTGCAAAAACCAGTCTGGTTCTGGTAGAAAACATGCAGTGAAGTTCATGATTTTGAACTTTGATTTGGAAATTTGGCAGAGAGGCTTGAGCACACTCTCAGTATAAGCATATTTTATGCCTGCAAAATGAGAATTTGTCTTTTTTCTGTTTGTTCTTTTAAAAAAGATTGGTATGGAAATAAAAATATGAAAAAATACAGATAGATCAAGGAGATGTCATAGAACAAGAAAAAAAGCACAATGAAATTTTGAGAGCAATAACATCAAAAACAGAGGGGAAAACACAAAAAAGGACCTCAAAATCATGCCTGCCTCATGCGGGCTTTGAGTAATACGTTGTAAGCCTCTCTGACGAGACTGGGCTGCCGCCCAGACCTGCCCGCAAACGACTCTCGTCACGAGAGGATTAGTTAAGCTCGGGAGGAGTGCTTAAACCGGGATCAGGGTGGGTCCCCAGAGTCTCATCTTTCCCCCTGGGATGATTTCAGAAGCACACCGGCAGGCCGAGTACGAGTGGCGCAGCCGATCGCCATCCCTGGCAGTGGTCGGCAATAGCCTTTCCGAGGAGCTCATGTCGGATCGGCTTTGTCCGACGGTGCCTACATATGTAGTGTCTGTAATCTCGCCATGATCTGGCCCGGTGCACCGCTTTACCCGTCTGTATCCTGCATGGACACCGGTGGGACGCCGTGTCCGCCTCTATGTAATAGTTTCTTGGGGCCGTGACTGTTTGCCGCCCCGCCGAATTTCCTGCGTGCGGAGTCAAGTGTCGTGCCGATGGGCTGTATGTCCTCCGCACATGAAGCTGATGACGTCATTCAAACCTCACTCAGTTTTATCCGCGGGGTCTTTAAAAACCAAGTTCTCCTCCTCAACAGCAACTTCCTCAACTCGGCAACACTCAAAACGATACGATCAGCATGGCCTCAGTCACTCCGCTCCCATCCACCACACGCTATCCCTGCTCCACCCTCACCAAGCCCGCCGATTATCCCGGGGTCTTCCTCTTGGAACTCCACTCTCCTCCAGACAACCGCATGACCGAACATTTCATCACATCTAGTGTTAGTGCAGTTTTCTGAATCGACTCCAATGCTTTTTTTTTGTTCAGGTTTTGAGGATGTAGTGTTGACTTGATGTGTGAGCGAATCGGGTGTCCATCTTAGTTGATTGCTCCTCTCTTGGACGTGGAACGAGAATACCGAGCTTCCTTGCTCGGCTTACTGACAACCCCACCACCAGGAGACTCTCAAGGTATCTAAGTATTTCAGCACTTACTGAAAGAATAGGCGACTGATTGGTGCAGAACTACTTTTGTAGGATGGAAGACACCCCTCACACCCGGCCAATATGCTCTCGTAACCTGTGGAGCACGAGACAAAAACAGGATCTACAGTAACGGGCTCGACTTGAATGAGGCCTTGGCCTTGGACCATTTCTTCCAACGTAAGTCATCCAGCCCATGATTTCTTGTCCTCATCAAAACCGCGACTCCAAGAGTGACTCATCTCGTTTTCTTTGGGGTGGGGTTCTAGATGTCTTGAATCCATTGTATGCCAAATTATTGGCGTTCCCGATACCTACAGTAGCAGCCATCAATGGTCATGCATTCGCGTGCGCCTGACCTCTCATTCATGGATTTCCTTTTCTTTCTCCATAACTGAGGATCTTGTTGGGTCCGTTTTTTTTAAAAAAAATAGGGGCGGCTTCTGTTTAGCATTAGTTCATGACTTCAGGATCATGAAGGACAACGAGCAAAAAGGGAGGGCGTTGATGGCGATGAATGAGGCGGAGTTTGGGGCGCCGATTCCAGTGCGTCATATATAGCCCTCCCTCTCTCTCTCTCTGGGGTCTATTTCTTTTTTTTTCTGGTTCTCTTGTCGGGAAAAAGAGCTGTCAAAGATGTTGATTGTCTGGAAGAGGGTCTGTGTGATTCTGTAGTTGGGTCTCATATCCATCGTCGAAACTAAATTCCCTTCAACTACTTTGGCCGCTAAATGCTTGGCCGAGGCGCATCGTTTTGTTGCCAAAGAATCGTTCGTTTTTGGTTGTCTCTTGTAACCTCGCTCGAGTCCACTGATTCTTATTCACTGATTGGGGGGTTTCCTTTTATTTACTGATGATTAGATTAGAACTAGGGATCGTCGATGCGTTGGCTCCTGAATCTGAGGTGGTTAACAACTCCCTAAGATTAGCCTTCGAGAAATCGATCCGAGCGTCTACCGGAGTATATGGGATGATCAAAGTAAGCCCGAAAAACTCTTCTCGAAAGTTCATCTCATTGCCTGTCCCCATCTCATTAACACCAATCCCATTCATTCCTAAACAACCCATGAAAAAAAAAAAAGGAATCGGTGTATCGAAAGACGCTCGAAACCTTGGGCTCCAGTGGCAGTGGAAATGCGGATGTCAAGTCGGTCCACACGAGCCGGTTGAAGCAACTCTCCGGCCACAAATCCGGCGCCTCAAAGCTCTGATTTCCTCCTCCACATTTCACCCCCCGCCCCCTTTTTTTAGATAAATGTATGCACTCTTGGGGCTAGCTTGGCTTTGTTTTTCTCCTTGTATTCTTGTGTATCGGTATCGTGATCGGGCGTCCAAACGGATTATTCCATTCTCTCTCTCTCTCTCCTTCATTGGCTTCAGATATAGATTGTATATAGATGTAAGCCTGTTGCTTTTTTTTTGTGGTGGTCAGCGATTGGGTATCAGCCGATCCCTTTGTCCTTTGGACTTGGTCGGATAAAGCATCTCCTCTCAATATAGATTTGGCTTTTTTTTGTGATTGGAAAAGTGACTCTCATGTTTGTTTATTCTTGGTATATGTTGGTTGTATCTGGTTTGTAGACTCGAGGGATTGACGGGCAATGGCAATGATTGGATGACTGGGTATTGACCATAAAAATTGGGGGAGTACGTAGATGGCAGGTGTCATGAAGCAGCTATCTCGTATGGCAGTGGATATTTGACTGGACTAGATTTTTGCCTAATGTATGGCTGCTGTTTAGCAGTATCCGTGAGCGTGAAGTTGCTTGCTCAAATTACAACAAAGATCAAACAAACTTGACCTTGCTGAGCTCTCAAGCTGCAAGCCCTTGGTCTACATACAACTAATCAGAACTCCGTCTCCTTGATTTGGATCACCCGTCAAAACTTACTTGGCCTCCAATCATCTGATTGATTTCTGGTGATTTGCTTTAAACTGGATAGATGTGTGTTCATTTTTGAAGCAAGTAGAAGCCAATACACCAACACACAACCCAAACAAGCTCTTTTGTTGTAAAAAAAAGCTGTTAACCCTATAACTTCAAAACTATAAAAAACTTTAAGAGCACATCAACAAAACCAGTGGATTACATCAAAAACTTCATTTTAAATAATCAATAAAGCATTAGAGAACCTTCAGCAAATTGAAACAAGTTCTAATGTTTCTCCCTGTTCTTTTTGGGGTTTATGTCTTTGTTTCAGTTGTCAATTTGCAAAAACGTTGTTTGAAGATTAAGTGATCATTGAATGGTGTGAAAAAATGTCAACAAATCTAAAGAGATCCAAGAAAATTTATTTAACAGATTCCCTAATCTCATAGACCTGAGATTTGAAGCTGCTTGATGTCAACCCTCAATTTTTTACACTCATCTGTACATAGATTTTGATAAGTTGGAAAGTTGTCAACCTTTTCTGTAACCGAAAGGTTCACATACACAATATAATTTGACATCATTGTGGAATTACACCGCAGTAGTATTGACTATATGTAGTGTGCAATATAAAATCAATGAGCACTTGAAAAAAGGAGGCCAAACCAAGCAAGTGCAGATGTGCATAAGCCTAGCACTGGAACCCATACCCAGCCCCATCCTGGTGGAAATGTATCGGCCACAGGATTCTTGCTCAGGATTGGGTACAGAATGTACAGTCCAGGGTGGTCCCATGGTCATGGAGTCATGGACCCAACTCTCCTGGATGAGAGGAGCAGCTGAAATTGCAGCTGTGCCACTGCCAGCAGAAGTGCATCTATCAAGACAAATTTCAAGGTTTCACAGGCCTCCACTGATTCAGCTATTCAGAGGGCTTACCTGCCCACCCGCAGGTATACCCAGTGCATCCAAACAACTATGGATACATCTGGGTAGCATTAAGTTGAAAATTCAGCCGGGGTGTCGGGCCTCAGGCCAGACGGGCACCCTCGGGGATATTTCGGTCCACCTGGAATTGGTACCCGGCTGTCGAGATATGTACCCGCTGGGCGGGGGCCTTGACGGGTCAATCTGACCGGGTACCCCGAGGGTCAGCGCAGTGCAAACACTCCATAGTTGCACACCGACCACTTTTCTAAAATTTCAGCCAATTCCACACTTCCTGCAAAGGAAAAAAACACACGACCAACCACTCCCGCCCACGAAGAACAAACAAATCAAAAACGCATTCAAGACACACACAGATATATTATCGAAAAAACTGAAAGAGATAGAGAGAAAGGGTCGAGATGTCAATCGGCCGAACACTTGGACGGCTTCCAGCCCAGCTGCAACACCAACACATCCGGACCCTAGAGGCGTCATTCAAGGCGGCCTCCAACCAATTTGGTTCCTACAACTTCCGCGAATATTTTGGCCGGAAATCGCGGCAAAAGTTTGATGAACAATTACCAAAGCTACTAGGGACCCGACAGATCAACGACGAAACTCTGGCCCGAATGGACCCTAAAACGAGACAGGAATTCGACGCTTGGTGGTCGGCTTCGGTCGATGAACTCGCGGTTATCGAACGTGCTAGTATCATGAATAGACTTTTCCTCGCCCCGAAACTCGTCGTCGAATCCGCCCCTAGCTTTCCTGATACTTCCGATAACAAATCGTGCGCTCATCCTCTCATTTAATTCATTTCCCTGGTCTTTTTTTTGACACCTGCTCTCTCATCTCCTTCTCTCTCCCCCACAATTAGATCAGGAAACCTTCCCAATGACCCTTCCGAACCCAAGAACAACACCTGAAGAATATCAATTTGTATACACACACAACAAAAAGACCTGCCTGACGAGCTGGGCGCCGCCTATTTTTTGTTTTACCATGGCAGATATTTGTAAATAACCAATTTATTCAACATCACAATGCATAATTAGCTCAATGTTCGGATTGTCACTCATGGATGTTCAAGGTTGTAGGTTCAAACTCCAGGCCTACAACAACTTTCAATTTTTGAATTCATAGATAGTGAGCCCAGACAGTGCAGTAAACCACACTGGACACAGATGAACTTGGGAGGATTGATTTTCTTCGCTGATAAGTTATATCAACTGTGTATCAAGCACAATGGAATTTTGATGTACCAAAATAGACACCGCTTGACACACATTGCTTGTAAATCGATTCAATATTTTTTTGAGCATTGTAGGTAATTCATGATTGTCACACATGCATGCATACCCAAATGATTCAACATGAAGCAACAGATACCTACCTCATGGGGCCCACAAGCAGGTGAAATGTACAAAAAAGCATAACCTGCTTGGACTGATTATCAGAACATCTTCCATGAATGCTGATGTTGGGAGTTGAATTCCTACAGTACACAAAAGTTCTTTCTGTTTTTCGAAAACAATCGCCCTTGGTTAAATTACAGTGTTTTGGATCTTTGCTTGGTTTCTAGTGATAGTATTACATATTGTGATATTCCATTCTTATTTTGCTTGAATTCTTCTGTAAGGTCAAATAAGGACGCAAAAAATAGCACCAAGACAGTCAAATTTTTCTATCTTTCAATCAAAAAAAAACATGATCCAAGTACTAGTAAGTATTTATCATAGGGTTAATCAAAAGATCTTTTGAAATGATAATTGATTGCTACTTACTGGCTGAGTTAGCTGTTAGCTGAAGGCCTCTCAACTAAACTGGCAACCTCGGGCTTCGTGGCGGCGAGTAAGCAGTGGCAGGAGCTGGTTTATATTGGCCACCCTTCTGCTGTCCAGGGTCAAGATTTGGACCTTTTGGAGTACCACATTTGGGATGCGCAGGTTGTTTAATCATCCAATCCGGGTATTTGAGACTGGGCCATGCTGGGGGGAGACGAAAGCCCGGGTAATGGGAATCGTGTCCATTTTGTCGAAGTTTATAGTTCGGCGGCCCGACATGAAAAACACCATCGCTGGTCTCGTATCCTGGTTGTCCAGTTTGCGGGTCCCGTATCGGATTCGTCCCAAGACCGGCCATTCCCCCCAAGTTACTAAAATAGCATACACCCAAAGTTTTATATATATATCTTCGCCGTCATACAACTGATCACAAACACAAAGTCAAAAATTAGTTCAAGAGATAACTCACTGCCAGAAGAAGGCATGCCCGTTGGTAAAATCAGCGACGAAGTCCCGAGGGGATGGGACAACGGTGTAAGCGCAGCAAATCCCATAGGGCTGTAGATGTCAGATGTTTTTCTTGTGAGCTTGATCAACGCATAGCTTTCAGGCAAGGCGTGACTCACACATCCATGGTAATTGTCATCAGCATGTTGCACTGTGAAAGTAGCAAACAATTGGACTGCAAGAGCAAAGGATCAAATCATGAGAACCTCAGCTTTGTTTATCACAAATAACATGGGCAAGTCCATCAGGATCATTTGACCCACCATCAGGAAAGTGAAGTCTTGTATTTCTTGCACATTCCGATACTTGAATGTTCCCACTGCACAGTTTGGCTTTTCAAAGTCCACGATTGGAGGTAAGTCGGAGCACAGTACTTCAGGTTTTGATCGGAAGGTCAAAATTAAGGACTCACGACGATTGCGGCTGAGCCAGGTATTAGAAGGTTTGTAATCTCTTATGTGGCCCGTGGCTTCGTCCCAATTCGCCAAAGCAAACGGCGACATAAATAACCACATTATCCAGAAGATCAATAACATCTGGCTGTAAATTGCCATTTCTCGAGATCGAATATTGATAAATAACAAGTCGAGTGTGAGACTAAGTGAAGCCAGTTGGGAAACTCGCTTCAATCGGGCCAACTTATATATCCTGTCGAAGCCTCACCCTCATCAAGCAAACTCTGCGCCTAAAGCTCGTGTCCTATCTGTTTTTCCAAATTTCATTGGCCATGCAATACCACAGAAAGGGTTGTAGGAGTGGCGAACTCCTGAAGCTCTCGCATGAATCAATGAGGGGAGGGGATGTGAATCCCTTCCCTGGTAATCAACGGCAAATTTCATTCACGAGCAAGTCATCTTAGTTCTTCCGATAGGTGTAGTCGGACATCCTCACTAGGATCTGAAAGTGAAAACTATGACGAGAGAGAGAGAGGGTCCTTGATCAAGGTTTATTGTTTGCCTAGAGGTCATCGCAGGTCTTCCAATAGATGCAATGAGTAAAGTTCCTCCCAGGATTCCAACCACCAGTGCTCTTAGATTCTGCGTACACGGTGGGGCTTATACTAGTATCAAGTATTTTGAATGCCATATAGGGCTTTGGAATGGGATCATAACAAAAATGCAGCCTGGGTAAAATAGATAGGCAAGGCTGACGCCCGTCCTTCGGTCAGCAGCGCCAAGTTTCAAGCTTTGAATCTTGCTGACCACTTGTTCACCCTGCCCACATCATTTCTTCCATTCGCATAAAAGGTTCCGTCTCCACGACGCAAGTAAACAGTAAAGATCTGATCAGATTGTATGGAGGATTGCCTTACCATTTGAATTGAACTGAACTGGATTCAGGTGTTGTTAGAGAGCTCATCAACAACGAAAACGATCGCCAAAGTGCTCAGTTCGATTTCTAGAATTCTGAGCTCAATTGTAAGGTTTAAAGATCGAAGGAGATCAATCTGTGAGTTGCCTTTCATGACTATATCAAGGAGAACAATTCCATTTTCCCAAATACTGTGGACAGTTTAGTCGGTGTGCTGTGTTGTATGACCGGCGCCGACGGTGTTGGAAGCAGAGAATTTAAAAAAAGGGTTTACTTCGGTACAACTCAGCTCCTGCTTAACCCATGGCGGTAGTTCAACAAATCCCCAACTTCTGCTTTTTTTTTGGTAACACGTTCCACAGTGTGCTCAACTCTGACAGGAGTTTACATCAACACCACAGTATCCGGTTCTTGATCTCTGGAAAGGAGGATCAAGAAAAAAAAAAAAAGGTGCGGGTAAGTTAACGGTGACGCAAGTGCCTGCAAGTGCAACCAGCTGAGCCATCGAAGAACCGACCCGGAAGGGCAAAAGTGGGGTGCACCCGATTGACTTGCATGGGCAAGACGCAACGCTTCGCTTCACAAATCTCCTCGGCCGGCGGGATAGCTTGCCTATGTATCCAACATGTGACCACGAAAAATGTGATCGCAAGAAGCACATGTGGCACACAGGAGACAGGGGGGGAAACAGAGAACCTGGCCGCTCATGATCGCGCGGAACGAACAACCAAAAAACGCGACAACTCATTCATCTGTTCTTTCGAACAAAGCAAATACTCAAGGAGCACAACTTGGATGAAAATTATCGACACAGCGGACTGTGGAGGGGAAACAAGAGTACCAAAATGAAGAAATGGCAATCCGAGTGAAACAGGGGGCACGGATCGGTACATGCCAGATAGGGGGAGGGTCTCCTCGAAAGGGTGGGCTGGCCCCCGAACTTTCATTCAACAGTTCGACCATATTTGCCCCCCATGGCATATCCAGCAGTTCAATGTCTTGGGCAGGCCTTGGTTGCCTCATAACCGTATCAGTTTTCTTTGCTGCAATGCCTTTCAGACAAGCAAATCCCAGCTTCTTTACAGAAAATTGAAAGAGAAAACTTGGCTTACGAGCAGAAAGATGACATTTATACTTATTTAGAATTGGCTAAACTGAAGTGAGGACAATTGTCTGGGTTAGGAAATTTCGGACTCTTTAACGCTGTACAGAAAAAAAATTGGGGATTTTATACATCAAGTGTTTAGTGTTTTTATATGACCTGTTGGAAGTTGGTTATGAAGACCAGTTGATTTGTTTCATTTTTTGAGTGAAATTTGGCCAATGGCATCGCTCACTATGAATCTAGAAACAACTTAGCTGGAAATACAAGCTTTTTAGAGAAAACAAGGCTTTAGAGGGCAAAGCATACTTTGGATACTGGTGTTTAACAAATGGACAAGTAGGAATAAGAAAGTAAGAAAGAGAGAAGAAAGAGAAAAAAAACAGGAGAAAAAGGTGAAACAGGAAAAAAAGGAGGGAAAATCAGGGCAGGGTGAATTTGAGTTGATGTAGCCTTGGGCCGTCCAGGCTTGGGAAACAGCTGGAAAGTTTGAGAAAATTGGCCACGGGCTGGTAGGCTTTCTGTATTAGCATGGCTCTATCCAATTGGTTGGGTTTGAATCTGATTTTTGAGGCTTGTAGTGCCTTTTGGAGGTCAGACCGGATGTGCTTGAAGTGAGGGCAGAGGTTGAAGAGGTGGCTGACGGTGTCCCTGCCAGGGTAGAAGGGGCATTGGGGGTCCAGTTGCCTGTTTATCCAAAAAAGAAAGGATTTCAGCGAGCAATGTCCCGAGCAGAGTTGGTTCGAAATAGAAGCAGCAGCAAAGGATAAGGAGGAGGGTTTGGCGCATTTGGTCAATAAATCCGCCAAAGACATCTGGGAGGTTTTCTGGAGGTTGCTCTTAATCTTGAAGACTGAGGAGGTAGGGTGCAGGACCGCCTCTCTTGCCAATTCATCTGCCACCTCATTACCAAGGATGTCCCTCTGTCCCGGGCACCATGCCATGAAGACCTCTGTCGTCAGGGGCAGAGCAGAGAGGGACTCATCAATCAGGTTGAAGAGTGATTGACCCGGCTTCCGCTTGGGGGATGCCGGGTTCATAGTTCTTAAGATCACCCCTTTGTTGTCAACAAAGAAAACAATCCTTCTGATTCTCCAATCGCGGCACAAAGTACTGGCCATCTTGGTCACTGCAATTAACCATGCTGCCTTGGCCTCATGGTTGGAGATGACAGAGTTGTTGCCCAGGGAAAGGGTGCTGTAGGAGTTCAACTTGGGGCAAAAATCTGCCCCCAGGCCTCCTTTGTCTGGGCAAAAAGACCCGTCACTGAAGATTGAAATGACATCCGCCTGGGAAGCGTGATCAGAGAGAAGGGTCTTGACAGACTCAATAGCTTCAGTTTTAACTTTTTGACAGGTCCAAATTGAGGAATCTCCAGAAGTTGATGTGGGGGTGGGGGGCTTAAAGTCAAAAGAAAGATGAATCAGTTCAGGGTTACAACCCAGAGCAACTTCCAACCTGTCTTAAGACATCCCCATGCATGCAGAGTCCACAAGTCTGCTGCTTGGTTCCGCCCTGCTGGACAGGATAAGTTGTCGAACCATATCATTGGTCTTGATTGTTGTTATTTTCCGGAAGAAGCAGGAGAAGCCGGATTTGATGATGGGTTGAGTGGGTGACCTAGACCAAATGAACTGGTTCAAGGTGGATTTTGCAGTTCTTGTGGCCTTGTCTTCCAGTGCTTTGAATTTGCGCATGAAAGAAAGTTTGGGGTCCAAAAAGACTCCCAACCATTTCACTTCAAACACCGCTTTCAAGTTTGAGGACCCAAATAAAAAGGATTTTTCAGGGGGTTTGTCCCGGGTAAACCACACGTGCTGTGCCTTTGCCGGATCAAAGATGGCTCCATGGGATTTGCCCCATTGAAGAGATTGTGCGCCTTCCTGGTTGAGGGATTCCTTAGCTTCTGCATAAGAGTGCGCCGCCACAAGATGGACCTAGAGATCGTTCCACGGTACCCTTTTCTAGGTACCTAGTACCGCTTGGGGGGTACCCTTCACACCCTCCCCGCACCCGTCGGGAGGTGCCAGGTGTGGTACTTGGTACCTATTTTTGTGAAAAATTGAACAGGTACCCCCTCACTTCCCTACCAAAATGACGGTGGCCTTCTACTCCAAGAACTCCAAGAAGGTACCTTGGCTACATGGAAACAGGGACTCAAGGATAACAAGAAGTCTAACCAAAAATCAAAAAGGCAGGTGATAGTTTTGGATAACAATGAAGATTCTTCTAATTAGATATAATTTGTAGACAGTTTAAGCTTTAAAATAAATTATTAAATGTGAATAAATGAAAAAATTGACTTCGGATTGATGTTTTACAATAAATATGAAAAAAGGCAAGATTCTTCCCATTAGATGTAGATACTTGACAACAAATATGAAAAAAATGCCAAAAAAGTGACTTGAGTAATATTTTACAATAAATTTGAAAATAATAATAATAATGAAGTAAGGTTCTTCCAATTAGTTTAAGATGTCTTACAACAAATATGACAAAAGGAAAAACAGTGACTTGGGAATGATACTTTCAATAAATATGAAAATATAATAACAAAGTAGGATTTTTCCAATTTGTTGTCAACATTTCACAATAAATATGAAAGAATGGAAAAAAAGTGACTTGGGACTGATATTTTACAATAAATATGAAAAAATAATAATAAAAAAGTGACTTGGTAATCTGAAAGTGAACCTAGTTTAGAAAGAGAGGGGAGGTACCCGTGGTACCTGCCAAAAGTACCTCCGGTACCCGCCGGGAGGTGCCTGGTGCGGTACTTGGTACCTATTTTTTGAAAAAATTCAACAGGTACCTAGGTACCAACAGGTACCTGAGTACGAACGAACAATCTCTAGATGGACCACGTTGTCAACATAACCAATAGAGATCCTGTCTTGAGCAATGGAATTTTTTTTTTCAGAAGGGTATTATTATACAGGATATGTATAAAGAATCACAGAGAGGGGGGATCCCTGAGGAAGTCCAACCTCTAAGCAATGAGGGAGTGAAGTGAAGTCTATTGATGGTCATCAAGCGGTTGCGGAGGAAATCTGCAATAATCAGTGTAAGATAGGCAGGGCACTTTTGCTGGAATAAGTACTGGATTAGTCTTTTAGGGCCTATACCATAGGACATGAAAATTCAATTTCTCAAAATTTATCTTGCTCAAAATTTTATATTATCAAAATTGACCATAGCTAGAAGCTAGTCTTTGGCATGAAAGTGAAGAATCTCAACACCAGATCTCTCCAATTGTTCCCAGTTTTTGTGTAGAGGATGGAAAAAATGCTCATTTTTGAAAATTGAATCCCATGGTACAGGCCCTTAGGGTGCACCAAAGGATTGTTATGCCAGGAATCCTAATATTAGAGTGAAAAGAAGAAACCTCCCCCAAGGGGATATAAATTTCTTAAGAACCCAGTATTTATAGAAAAAACCTATGTACATACTTGGGTTGGTGAGAAACAAAAACCCGTAAATCCATAGACTATGTATATAATTAGGGTGAGAAATCTATCAAAATGTGACATGGGAATTCATGTCATAACAAGGATAAGCCAACTTGACATCCAAGAACACTGGCTCGAACACACCCCTCTTTATTTCAACCAAAGATGTGGAGAATTTTTTGAGAAGAAAAACGTTTTGGGCAACAAAAAATAATTTTTTGTTGGAATGACTCAAGGGTTGGGAAAAGAGTGAGAGCCAATGATCTTTATTTGTCAGTAGAGCCTATGCATTAGATAGACTACATACAACAAGTTCAATCTGTGGTTCAGAAAAATTGAATATCAAAATGAATAACAAAGTTTAAAATATGTTTGAAAGGATGATTGGAGCAAATGACAGTTGATAAATACTAGACCAGGGTTCAAAGACTACAAGGATTTCAGAACTAGACAACTTGACAAGATACCACACAAAAACCAACAAAATCCAATGTAAAAATCATGCATATTATTTCTCAAATCATTATTAATTTAAAAGTGTGTTAGATGAGTTTTTTAGGGATGAGAAGAAAAGAGACAAAATTCCAACAGTGACCAATCACCAGCCAGAATGCAAGATTATTTGGCTGCTTGCAATTGGTTTGGATTTTATTCTTTGCTGGAATGTCATTGGGGATCAAGCATGCATTCTCAAATTTCAGGGTGTTTTGCAAACCATTCTGAAAAGAGACCTGCTGTTGCTGTGAGGTAAAGTGGTGATGCTGAATCCAATGGTGTGGTTTTTATCCATAAAAGAGTTGATCCCTGAGCTCTAGTGTTTTTGTATGGTGTTGATTGTTCTCACCACATTGGACAACTGTATTTTGTGTCAATCAACAAGGGCGAGAGGTATTTTCTCCAACTCCTTCTACTGAAAGGATGTGGGTCAACCAGCTTCAAGGATCTACAAAATTTTGATAATGTGATTCATCCCACTTTCCAAGAAGCTGCTCTTGCACTTGGATTGTTGGTTTCAGACCAGCACTACATCCAATCAATGTCTGAAGCTTCCCTATGGATGGCAGGTAGTGCTATAGTCCTCTCAGGTTTATGTTATGCTATGACTATGATATATACCTTCAAGATAAATGTTTAAAGATAAATCAAATGCTGTATGTATGATTATATCGTTGTGCTACATTAGGTAAATATATTTGATGCTTCACCAGATCACATGCTTCTAGTTTTTTGAGTTCTTTGGAAGTTAAAGCAAAGTTGAAATAAAATAAAAAGTGGGGTCTTGGGAGAGGATTTCTTCTTGGGCCTTTTAGGCCTACCCAAGGGCCCTCAGCGGGCTCTGTGGTAGAAGAAAGCCCTCTTCCTGAAACAGAGAGGAAAAGAGAGGGGGAACGCGCTGAACCCTAGAACTCAGGGTGAAAGCCTGAGCCTTGCGCGAACCCCTTATTCTTCAAAAAACCTTTGAATGACTAATTTCCAAGTCGCGGAAGGGTCAAAAGATAAAGAGCCTACCTCCACGAGTAGTAGCGCGGACAACGCATTAAACGGCGCAACGTTGAAAGAGAATGAGGTAGTCGAGGTGCAGTTGACAAAAGGTACGTAACGAGCAGTAGTCAAACAAGAATAATCCAGTCATAATCAGGCATAGTTGATAGCCTTAGTGAATAAACATGAACCTTGAACCTAATGTACATGCTATCGGTTAGGAAAAAATACAGACACAGGAGCGGCGTACCGTGACTTGTTATCAAGACATGAATCTGAATCGGAAGGGCCTTTACTAATCGTAAACAAAGCCCCCGACCTAAACACATCACGATCCAGATCACATCCTCCAACAGATAAAGAGAAGCTTTGGGAGAAGATCGTCGAATCTAAATTAGCGAACGACGACGCAAACACATACTTCCTCCTCAGGATCTATCTTTCGCTCCCAAGAGAGGATGCCACCAAGAATTTACGTGTTCCGGTTGAACTGTCGGACCTACGTTCCACGTCAGCTGAAGCAGCAATCCCTACTCAAAAATCTACCTCGTCGGAGAGGACGGTCAAATTCATTAAGGGCTCGGTCCCGAACCATTGTGACATCGGTTTTACTCCTTTCTTCGACAAAAACATCCGCGAGTTCAAGGGGCCGCTGCCCTTGACTATCTTTGATAAAGAATGGCAAGAAGATGCGGTCAATTTTCACTCTGGGAAGAAATCTAAATCAGATGAAAAAGACGGAATATACACGGGGTACGAATACCCAAACGAGTGGTCGCAATCGTTCAGTGCTTGGACTAATAACTTTAGAAGTTTTCTCATCACTTATAGAGACATCTATAAGATACCGGAGTTTGCCGAGTGGATTGTGGCTCACAAAGCGAACGTCGACGAGATTATTGCCAACGAGGGGTTCCTAACTGGTTTTAGATATGATATGAACATACGCGCAAACGCATTTGCGTACAGGGTAGAGACATCAGATGGAGCTTCCGTCGTCGACATTTCAGTGATGCGCAAAGATGTACGAGAAAACACTTGGGCTATAACGAGAAAGTTAGATGAACTGGACTTCAAAGATAACCCTTATGCGCAAGGAGGCGTCAAATGCGGTTTCGATCCGAAAACAGGAAGACCTAAGATCGGTAAAGGCCACAAGTCTTTCGCCGATGCGAACCCATATCCATCAGGTAACTCGAGCGGATATGGTAGTTCATCGAGAGGCAGAGCAGGTTTCAGAAAGAAGAGTTTCGGACGCGGCGGTTATGGTTACGAAAACGGTCCCGACGACAGATGAGACAGTCATAACCAAGAAGATTATCGAGGATGGGACGATAGAAGATTTAACAATCAAGATAGATTCGGTGGTCAAGATGGCTACACCCAAAATAAATTCTCACATAATCAAATTTACTCGGGAGGCCAAGGCTATAGTAGGGAGGAAGGTTATAAATTTCAACACCCAAATACTTTCAGAAACAGCCAAAATAAAGACCCGGTGGTGAAAGGAAATGGGAAGAGAGAACAAAAAGAAGCAAAAGACGTGTAGGTTATGCCTTTCCTTGAGCCATAAACCTATTCCTTTGTTTGTACTCAGACTGCTAGACAGAACAGCATGTAATTTCCATTTATTTTGTTATATTTTTCTAATTCCAATGGTTTTTGTTTTATGGGTTAATATTATAAGATCTAATAACACATTTGAACAGATCGACGTTTCTGATATTCAAGTTTTGCCGAACCGTGTTTCTTGTGAGATGAACGTCGGTGAATGGGAGAGAGCATTATCAGAAAACATGCTGCTCCCTGCATTTCAGGATGTCTTGGAAGGCTTTACCAATGGGTTTGACCAAGGTATTCCCGCTCACACATTAGGTGACATGAAATGGTATACACCCGACAACCATCGATCTTCAGAGCTTGCAAAGGAAGACATCAAGAGATCAATTTCTAAGGAGATCAGCGCGAAACGGATGTTTGGACCGTTTTCACATCAGCAAATGGATAAACACTTTGGTTTCTTCCGCTCGAACCCTCTGGGAGCGGTCGTTAACGGTGATGGGGCGATTAGGCCGATCAATGACTTGTCGTACCCTAGGAACGACGACACTATTAAATCAGTGAATTCATTCGTCAATAAGCAGGATTTTGAAACGACTTGGGACGATTTCAAAACAGTTTCAAGATTTTTCGCGGAAGATCCAAGGGAATTCGAATTAGTGTTGTTTGACTGGGAGAAGGCCTATAGGCAAATTCCAACTAAACAAGATCAGTGGAAGTACCTTTTGGTCCAGGATTTCGACGGCAACCTGCTGGTCGACACCAGGATAACATTTGGTGGAGTAGCTGGTTGCGGTTCCTTCGGGAGACCAGCAGACGCGTGGAAATTAATCATGAAAAACCATTTTCAATTGGCTAACATCTTCCGCTGGGTGGATGATAATCTCTTTGTACGGGAACTGGGCTCCGAAACGTCGATGAGCAAAGTGGTAACGAAATCAACTGAGTTAGGGGTATTGACGAACGCTAAGAAATATTCGGAATTCAGCAATTCTCAGAAGTTTATAGGCTTTGTGTGGGACGGCATCGCAAAAACGGTTAAACTCCCAGAAGGGAAAATCGAACAACGCCTCAATCAAATTTACCCTTTCCAAGAGCCAAAAGCGGTCTTTGATTACGAAGATGCCGAGGTGCTCGTGGGAAGGCTTAAGCATGTGTTGTACATGCTTCCACACCTGAGGTGCAATCTCTGTTCTTTGTACAAATGGTTGAAGTCGTGGATCTGGCGGAAGGCAAAACGCGCGACACCGGCAGACGTGTTGGTAGACTTGAGTGTCTGGGTGGAAACTCTACAGAACTTTGAACATACAAGGCTAATCAGATGGGGTCCTCCTTTGGACTTGGATGGGTAGGCGACGCTTCAACTTCTTTCGGAATAGGTATACTGGTTGGGAGACATTGGGCCCAATTCAGACTAATAGACCCTCTCCAGAAGAAAAAGATATTGTTGCTAGAAACGGTTGCCATTAGGCTCGGCCTACTTATGTTACTGAAGCTCAGAAACCAAAAGGGAAAATCTCTAATTGTGTGGACTGATAATACAACAACGGAAAACAGTATTAATAACAAGAAGACTAGGGACGTCGAATCTAATAGAGAATGGATGGAAATACAGAAAATACTGTTGAGAGAATCAGTCGACTTGGTAGCCAGGAGGGTCCGTTCAAAGGATAACAAGGCTGATGCGCTATCCAGAGGCATCCGTTCTGGGCAATCAGTGAAATTTCAAGTTGTAATAGAATTACCTCTAGACTTAAAAGAATTCCTCGAACAAGTTGTATTTAAGATCTGAGTTTATCCATCTCTATAGTCATCCTTATTTTTCTTACTTTATGAGCATTTCCAATTTTTATTTTCAATCATGCACCTATCAGAAACCTCATTCTCATCGATTTGAGATTTCACTTCGCGCGGGTCAACACTCTGCCAACCTGGTGCACTTGATATACACGTACTTCACGGATGGTCTGACTCCACCCTTCGCAGCTACAATTCTGCGGTGCGCAAATTCCTCCAATTCATGAGGGAATCGCGGCAAAGAACGTTCACTCTTCCAGAAACAGAGCTCGACATTTACGAGTTTTGCTTCTGGGCGGGAAACAAAACCGGACAAGCGACAGGAAAAGAAGTCCTGTCGGTAACATTGAAGAAATACCTCCAAGGCCTCAAGGCGTGGCACACCTTTCACGACTCCCCATACCCAATCATCACGGAAAAGAAGGTCGCTCTCATCTTAAAATCTTCGGCGAAGTTGGAGGCTACATTTCCAAAGAAATCTCAGAAGAAAGCGGTGATGATTGAACATCTGATCGTCCTGGCAAACGATCTGTCCACCGGTAGCCTAGAGGACTTAGCTATCCTGGACATGGCACTGATAGCTTTCTGGGGACTAGCAAGGCTAGGGGAACTTACGTTAGATCAGGGGGTAGGCGGCGACTTAGGCGTCTACACATACGACGTGGATATTTCTTCAAAAACGGCGACAATCGAACTCAGGAGGTCGAAGACAGCAGCACCCGGCGAGTCACAATTTCTCAAGCTGAAACAGCTTACGAACATTCTCTGCCCAGTCAAGGCGGTATCGCGGCGCCTTGCAGGACGTGGTACGCCCAGCAGACACTTATTTGGGTACACCAAGAAGGACCGTTTCATACCCCTGTCAAAGTACAGGGTTAAGAAGCGGCTTGCAGACGTCTGGGGAAGGAACGGCTACCACGGGCTTTCAGGCCACTCCTTCCGTGTGGGGGGCGCCCGTTCTTAAATGCCGTAGGGGTCCCTGTGGACCAAATTTGTAGGATCGGCAGATGGAACTCGTCCTGCTACAAGTTGTATATACGTTCTTACTCCCCCGCAGAACTAGATAGTTCCCTTAAGCTCCTAAATAAACTGGACTTGCAATGGCGATTGACACGCGGTTGACCAGGTCAACGGCGAACAATCTCTCTGGAAAGAGGAATATTACCCACAATTTTATAAGTTAAATAATGAGGGCAGTCCCAAATGAACATTTATGTTATGCATGCTTCTACTCCACAGCCCACCCTCCAACCCCCTGAATATCCTCAAAGGCTTCATTGAACCTATATATGAAGACCTCATCCACCAGTTAGTGTCAAAGTAAGGCATGGAAAACCCTACAGAATACAAAAAGAATCAGCTGTGTTATTTCCTATTTAATCAAGTTCTTGCAAGGCACAGTAAAAACCTTTCAGATATTGGTCTTGATGGCTTGATCTGCAACTCCAACCTATTTAAATGTGTAATGTTCAACTCCCATACAATCAGCACACAGTTAATGAACATGATCTGCAATTCATTGACATGTCAGATTGGCTCAATCAGAGGAAGAAGGTCATCATGGAGACAGTTTGTAAGCTGAACAATTGATTAGAGGCAGGACTTATGTACATAGATGGCCCTGGTGGATGTGGGAAGACATTCTTAATGAATACCATCATCCATTCCTTATCAGCATCAAATATTCCTGTTATTACGGTTGCGTCCTCCGGTGTTGCAGGGTTGATGTTGGCAAATAACATGACGGCTCACTCATGATTCAAAATCCTGTTAGACATTAACAGCTCTACTCAGTGCAATTGGGATCATTGATCATCTATGGCCGATGTTATGCGCAGTGCTTGTGTCAGCCTCTGGGTAACTAACCTGAGTGTTTAGTAGTAAAAGGTTGTTACTATGAGTTGACTGAAGTGTTTGAGCATGGTGAGTGTTAGGTAGTGGGTGATTAATACCAGTCCTGTAAAGAGGAGGTTTTACTCTATCAGTATGGTCTTTACTGAGAGGCTTGCTATCAAAAGCGCATCCGGATCAATACAGGGTATTAATAGGCATCCAGGGTACTAAGACTCACCTGGGATTGATTTGGTTATTACCAAAAGGGAATGGGCTAACAATACTTATTAAGCTTTAACAAAATTTGTTGAAGATTAACAGGTATTGTTAATGGGAATATTCAGCAAGGCTATGAATATTGTGGATAAGTTGAGTAAATGTACTGAAGCTTAAGAACAATAAAGGTAGACTAGATTTATGTTGTTTACGTGTACTGTATCAATATAAATGTTAACTGGTTTAACTGGTGTCTGAATATTCTGGGGATTAATCAGTGAAAGAGGCACAGATTATAAGTTCCAGAATATTGAAGGAGGGAAAGAATGAGCGCTCAGAATCAAGGGAGCTTTGGCCAGGAGAATGAGCACATCAATTGAGTGACTGATCATTATTTGTCATGATATGTAAGTGACATCATAATTGTGTACTAGTTGCTCTTGATGCGTGTACTTAACAGATCCTCTAATAATGTAGTCATAATTGTGATCAGTGCATGTATTGAATGTATTGCTTCTATTAACACTTAATACTTACTATTTAATACATGTACATATTTATTTGTAATAATATTTGACCGTGAAAATACTGTAGAGCAGGGATAACTTGTGGTACAGGTATTTCACGGACAAAGGAGTGAAAGGCAAGTGATAATTACTTATGGTTAAAACAGATATGTATTTAATAGATAAGTAATTAACAGATGGGATAAATATAAGATAAATAAGATAAGTTGATAATAATGATAAGATAACAAGAGGTAAAGGTAATCAACATTATGGATGTGTACTTATGTAAGTAAGTACAGGTGTTGCAGTTACTTGGTACATGAAAGGTACTGTGACATGTACTCTGTGGCTGACAGCTTGGGTCATCCTATGGGACAAGATTTCAATGCAAAGCCATGCTGTTGAAAGTGTTGACAGACCATTCCAGGAACTTCTCAATGTTGATTAGCCGTTTGGTGGTAAGTTGGTTATCTTTGGAGGTGATTTTTGACAAATGTTGCCTGTAGTTCCAGGAGGGACTGTATTGGACCAAGGGGCGGTTTGCATGATCAAACCTCCCCTCTGGGCCAACATCTTCAGATTTCAGCTTACAGAGAACCTGCGGCTCATCAACACTGACACAGAAGCCACTCAACTCAACACCAAATTTTACAAGTGGATGTTGTCTGTGAGATCGGCATCTTCTCAGCAAGATTTATCTGCTGATATTCAGCTTCCTTATGGCTCTGTTTTCATGGAAACCTTTCCAGAAACTGTCAAGGAAAAAGCTATTTCAGTGGTTTACATGGATCTACAGCCAACGGTGGGCCAGCTACGCTAACCGTAGCGTAGCAAAAAATTGCTAAAATTTAGCGTAGCGTTAGCGCTTTTTTCAAATTCTGCGCTAACACTACGCGCATGGGGGAAAAATTTGCGCTAACGTTTAGCGTAGCATTAGCGAAATTCCCCCCATCTGCGCTAACGCTACGCGCACAAGGAGCAAAAAACTGCCCACTACGCTGCATTACAGCAATTTTTAGCAGTTTTTAGGCGTTTTTTGCCTCTAAAAACGCTGTAGCGTAGCGGCGCGCTAACACTACACCAAAAATTGGCTAGTGTTAGCGCCACTACAAGTTAGCGTAGCACAGCAGCAGCAGCGGCGCGCTAACACTACACAAAAAAAAAGCGCTGCTATGCTAACACTACATGGGCCTGTAGCGTAGTGTAGCGTAGCGGCCCACTGCTGCTACAGTTGACGGCTCAATCTCAGGACTTTGACACACTATCCAATTACCTTTCCAAGAGACTGATTCTTGTGCCATTGAATTTCAACGTTTAAAGACTCAATGAGCTTTGTTTCAATTACCTCCCAGGCAAGTACCACATTTCACACTCAGTTGACGCAATGGCCAATGAAGATGACGGAAATGATAGTGAAGAGGCCATTCCAGAGGAAGTTATCAACACATTCACACTTCCCGTTTTTCCTCTCTGAAATTTGAAGCAAAGTTGGGATGCCTGTAATTCTACTTCACAACTTGGATCTGAAAATTGGACTTTCAAACGGTACCAGGTTATTAGTCCTGGGCATATCAGATCATGTCTTATGGTGTAAAATCTTGACTGGATCATGTGCTGGGGATGAGACACTCATTCCAAAAATCTCTCTGACACACAAGGCTGATCACGTCTCACCAGGAAAAAACAATGATCACTTGATGACAAGTGACATCATGCAAAGTCCATCATGCTACCCAGTATGTACCCACCTCAACTCTAGTTCAGCCCCCTGAAGAACACAAAGGGGCCATTGTAGTTAGATTGCAGTACCACTGGAGCTACACTGGAGTTGTAATCTATGCTACACAATGTCACCTGTCATCTGGTGAGCATTGTTTTTTCCTGGTGTCTGTGGAGTCTCTTTCAAGCAGTATCAATTCCCAGTTTCAGTTGCATTTGCCCTTACCATCAACACGGCTCAAGGACAGTCACTATCAACCATATCTGTCTATCTCCCCCAGCCTGTTTTTGGGCATGGGCAGCTGTACATAGCTTTATCTCAATTGAAAAGTGTGGCAGGAATTTCCATATGCATGGTCACTTTGTATCCGGATATCTGCGCAGATGCAGATATCCTCTCACGATTTCAGCGGAAACAAGGCAGCCGGCTGGAACAATAAACTTCCAGGAGTGTTTTTTTTTTAAAAAAAAAAAAAAAAAAAAAACGGCCCCCTTGGCCTAGAGAGGCAGAGGTCACACCGTTAGAGATGTCAGCAGGTACCCGTTTGTGGGTACCCAGTACCCAGTATGCGTTTGCAGGTACCCAGAAACAGGTGCGGGTGCGGGTGCGGGTGTCAACATTTGGGGTAAAAAAAGGCAGGTACCCACCCCCCTTACACCTGCCCTGGTAATGCTTCCCCTGAAGAATTTCCCTCTATCGGTTGGTGGTCCAACACTCCCTTTTTTGGGTGTGTTGAGCT